GGGAGGGGTATGGAGTATCAGGGGGAAGGATGTATAAAAATTTTGTCAGCCTTGGCACCCTTCAGAAATGAAGCAGGTGTCACTGACTGACAGCTCTGACAGTAAACAAGGCAGCTTTAAAAGCTTTACAAGGATTCTGCTTTATGTACAAGCACTTCTTACAGGCTGGTTAATGTAAAAGCTTTTATAGAAACAGTATGCAAGAAAAGCAGTTAAAGTGAATATATACTCCAACTTTGTGCCTCTTGTTTAGGCCTTTTTCTGGCATTCAGAAGCATGTGGCAATGGAAACTTGGAATCACAGGGTGCCCTTGGTGTTATGTATCTCTATGGACAAGGTGTATGTAAAAACACTAAAGCTGCTTTGGAGTGTTTGAGAGAAGCAGCAGAACGTGGAAGCATCTATGCTCAAGGCCATCTTGTGGAATATTATTACAACAGGAAATTTTATTCAACAGCTGCTGCAGTAGCCAAAAGGTGAAGTTAATTTCACTTTTTTTCAAATTGTAGTTCTTCATGTAAGACCATGGAACTCACGTTAAAATGATTTAAATTCAGTCTCTTGTGTCTCTATTTCAAGAGACATTTGAAATAATGAATTGCAAGACCTCATCTTTAAAGAAGGAATAGCAAACCACAGACAAAATTAATACTCTGAGGTTTTCAATTATTCAGTGCAGTTGAATTTTACTTTCTGATCCTGGGAAGCAAAACAGCCTTGAACTAGGAATACCAAGTAGAAGCTCACACTCAACCCTGCCTTCCTGTCTCCTTGGTCCAGAACCTGCTTTAGGCTCCTGCCTTCCCTCTTCCCTTTTGAACCCCTACAAGTATTCTTCTGTTCTCCATATCCCCCATCTTAATGTCATTTCTACCCACTGTCTCCCACCCCAGCATTTCCTTGCTCTGTGACTTTGTGTGTTGGTCCAGTTCCTGTGTCCTTTGCAGGAAATGCAAGCACTGATACTGGGCAGGATCTTTCACCCTGAGCAGCGCAGCGTGGGGCCTACAAGCAGCTGCTGCACAGTGACAAGTCATTGCCCTTTGGCTTTCCATCAATTGCTGCTCATGGGGCTGCACACTGCGTAAGCATTTTCAAGCCTGGGCCACAAAACAGGCTTCTGCATGCCAGAGGTTTCTGGCAATTACCTGCTTGTGTAGAGGTACTGGTCTGAGCCACAGTTTGGCAGCACTGACTGGCTTTTCCACAGGCAGTCACTGTGGGACTCGCTGCTTCACCTACATGCTCCCCAGTGGTTTGTGTATTGCAGAAATAGCAGCTGCTGGTACAGGCTGCAATATTAAACACTGCCAGTCTGTATCAAATTTCTGTATCTTGAACCAGGGGGAAAAAAGAAATTAAAAAAAAAAAAAAAAACAAAAAAACAAAAACAACTACTGAGAAAACCAGTTCTATTGATGATAAACAGCACATTTCTGTGACAAACCTCCAGAGCTGTACAGTGTATGTTAAAAACTCAATCTGTCAATCAGATTAATAATTTGCTGGAAAATAAGATGCAGATACACTGACTACTTATGCAAGCTCCACACAACAGCATTTGTGCTTTTTGTGCTATGTTTATGGAGCTGCGGCTGCCCAGCAATAAACATGTCACAACTTACCACCAGCGGTAGCACTGCATAGCAGCAGCTCTGGTCATCCAGTAGTTCAGCAATGACCACTCTTTGCTGTGCTTATTGCTGAAAAGGGTTGTTTTCTCTCTGAACTGCTGCTTTTCTTTCTCTTGCACTGAAAGTTGACTGATAGCTAGCTTGTCTCGCTTGGAACACATCCCTCCAGTCAATGCTGCACCACAGATGAAGCACACTCTTGTTGGAATAATCAGCTGCAATTGTGATTGCAGAAAATAGCAATGAAAGCCCATACTACAGCCAGGAATGACTGTTTCTGAACCAAAAGATACTGCCACCATACTCAAAACTTAATTTGGACTGTTGGCCCTGAAGCAAAAATCTCAGAGCAGTTCAACCCAGATGTATCAAGCACCTCTTCTGCTAAAATTTGTTTTTCCTTCTAAGTCCTTAGCAACTACAGTTTGTTACATTACATACAAACATTATGTGATTATGTACTGTATAACCTTACCTAATACTTGAAGTCTAGATGAGCTACTGATACTTCACCTCAGTAACAATTTTGTTACCTCATATAGCTGTACTTATGGTGTGTTGCTCTTGAAGGCAGCTGTGCTGAACTAGAATTTTTGCCTGACTTGACTGGGTATCATTATTTGCATCAGCATCCTGTTGTGTCTCTTTTGGAAAGGAAGGCAAAAATGCTATGTATCAGGAAAGATAAAAGCAGTAATGGGTTATTGTTATATTTGAATGTCCTTGCTATTAAGTCTTGCTTGGTTTGTTTTTTTTATTTTGTTATGTTACTGTATTTGTGAATAGCACCAAATAAGGTGGGAGAACATTTGCTCTCAACACATTCAAGTGGTTTTAGCAGGCACTGACTTCCAGAGGGTTAGTTCAGAACAATCTTTATAAACTCCAATTTACAGGGAGTAGTTATAAACTGAAATGACTTGCAGTTTTATTTTTTCTGTCAAGTCTGCAACCATTTGACACAACAAAAAACTAAAATGGTGTGTGAAGCAGCATGTAATTACTGTTATGTATCTGGAAAGTACATGAGGCTTAGGGGTTTCTGTTTTAAGACAATAGTTAGAAAAAAATCAATTCTCACTTAGAAAATGTTATACCTACTACTATGGTAGGTAACAATAGTAGGTAATTATAGCCTGATAGTTAAAACAATGTTCACTTTGTCCCTCTGATTCTTGAACAGTTCTTAGTAAAAATATCAGGCTGAAAATAAGGTGACAGCAAGCAGACAAATGCATGCAGAAGGAAAATAACTGAGCTGAAATAGTCATAAGTGGGTATGTCCAGGACCTTCAGATTACTGTGATCTGCTAATATCCTACTAAGAACCTGGAATTTTAGAATCATGGAAGAGTTTGGGTTGGCCCTGTAAAAATTATCTAGTTCCAGTTCCTCTGCTATGGGCAGGGACATCTTCCACTAGATGAGATTGCTCTGTTGTTTAAGAGCTTTGCCTTTCCTCCATATATGTATTAATTTCCATGAAATATTTTAATGGGAACAATGAGCATTAAACATGCTGCCTTTTATAACTAGTGTAACTATAGTGAAAGTGACTGCAAAAGTTACATATTTGTTTGCAATTTAATATCACAATATTCAAATAAGATTAACTTCAAACCAAATATTGAATAGAAGAGTCCTCATTGGACTGCTGAATACATGTAGGTTTCATCTTATTTTAGAGAATGATGTAAAGAGAAAGGAGGCATTGTTAAGTCATATATGGGCAACTTAAATTATTGCTTGAAATAGCATTATCGAACCTAATGCTGTAAATGCCACAACAGGATTACAAAAAACGACGACATCGATACACTAGCAAAGATGACGGATTGTCTTCCTACGTATGTAGCCAAGGGGGTTGCTATGGCTGCTTTCTACCTGGCTAGATGCCTCCAGCTTGGCCTAGGTGTACGGCAAGATCAAGCTGCTGCTAAAAAATACTATTCTCAGGTAAGATGGGAAAGTTTTCTAGACTAATTTAGATCTCATGAAACTGAGTGATATCTTGGATTTGAGTCTTTATATTTGCTGTTTGGTTAAAGACTGCAACATTATTTATGTAAAAAAAAAAAAAAATCTGTGCAAGAAGATGAAGAGTGATAAAAGTATACTGAAAACTACTAAAAATAGTCTTGACAGGATACTGTCTGCCCACTTAAGCAAACAAAGCTTTCAGTGAAACAACAAAATCTGTGATAATCACCACAGCAGAGCTTGATAACCTGCAAGATAAATTAGCCAAACAATTTGAATAATTTTTATCCCCAACTGATTTGCTGTCTGTCATTCTCTCAACCTGAAAAATACTCACTTTTCCTCTACTTTTGATTCTCCAACAATTGCAACCTTCACTTACAATACTTAAATCAGTCATAACTGGTTGTCATGCTCATTTTTATGTTTACATTTTTAGCGATAGCTGAGAATCTACTCTTACTGATACACAGGGGAAAATAGGTCACCTTTTTTAAATGTTGTGAAGTTGAAGTCAGATTTATTGCTTGAGGAAAAAGCTCAATAAGGGCTTCTAGAAGACAAATCTGTTAAATAATATCAGTGATGCCTAAAGGTACAGTCCAGGCAAGATGATTATACCAACTGAAGGGACTGCAGCAAGACTGGATCTGTGCTTCAGAGACTACAATTTCTGTGCATGTAGAGACCATTTGTTTCTGCAGGTAGAATACTTTGATGTCCAGCTTGTTGCAATCCAAATAAATGGCAAGTTATGTAAATGATCAATTACCCACTAAAAATTTTTGTGGCTCCTTACTTGGGGAACCATTGATACAAGAGGTCTACCAGAGCAGGTGATCCTCTGAATACATACATTTTAAACATTTTGTTCTCCTGCTGTGAAAAGTGTTACACAGGGTAGGATGAGGAGGAGATCAGGAGAGGAATGTAAGATGGGCTGTTATCAAAATGTAGCCCTAGATAAATCTTAAGGCATGGAAGAGGCCCATCAAGATTAAATTGCTGCATGGATTTGTGTGTGTATAGCCCTTCCCCCGGTCTTCCATCAGGTCTAGTATAATGATCACAACTGAAAGAAAATTGCAGCCTTCACTCATCATGCACTAGCTGTACATCTGAGAACAGTCTAGAAATGTCACTAGCTTCTTAGTATAAAAAGAGATTCTTTCTATTGACTGGTGCCAAGCATCTCGATTACATCAACAACAGAAGAGAAGGAACAGAAAATAAACAAGGATGCTAAGTGAAGCAGTAACTTTAGGACAAATAGAAGACAAGAGTTGTGGGTGCCTTCATTTTTCTTTTGTGCCCTGAACATAATTCTTGTGTTAACCATACAACTCTACCCATTTAAAATTAAAATCTTGTTTGCTGTTTTAATTAACTGTTCAGCTGTGGTTTTGACCTACTGTTCTTAGACCCAGTCAGTTTTGAAAGAGGCAAGAGAAGATGGGCTTCCCAGAGGGTACTGACATAGATGATGGAAATGAAGGAAACTGATTCTGTCTGTAAGCAGATTTATGTTTCTGGCTGTGGTACCAGTACATGCCATACCAACGAACAGAATAAAAATATAAAACCAAGCCTAACACTATAGCCAAGTACACTCATTTTAAATACTGAATTTTTCTTATGTGGCATCAGAAACAGGCATTTAAAGCTGAATATATTAACTCTTAACAAGTTGATTATCTCAGATAATGTCAGCAAAACTTAAAGACCTTATTAATGTTATATTGACAACATACAATTTTATTTTAGCTACAAATTAGAGATCCCTGTTCTTTGTTTTTAAAGGCATGCCTTCTGGATCCTGGTCTTGCTTCTGACCTTGAGCTGGCAGCTAATCTTGGGAGAATTTAGTGTTTCCTTTAACTGTGACTGGTATATAAATGTGTTTCCTACAATAAACCACCTTTAATTTCCAGTAATTATAGAGTGTTTACCACTTACTGCTTGCTTTTCAATTTTCTATAAATGATTACTTAAAGCAATTTACTGACTCTTTATGTAAAAAAAAAAAAAAAAAAAAAAAAAGCAAAAAGCTCACACTCATTCTTTAACTGAGATGAAGCAAAGGCAGACTTTTTAAAATGGTATTGAAGGCTTAAGGTTTATTAAGGATATTTTACTGGGACAGATGTCCTGTGTCTTCATGTCATACTGCTATATAGCACATGAATCAAACCAAAACCAAATTAAAATGGTTGTTTCTTTTCCTGCATTTTTAGTATTTAAACATTACATTTTAATAGTCGAAAAAGCTTGGGCCCAAACTTGTCTAGTTTTCACATACAACCCATTCACAGGGCATGACCATTTTTAAATCTTACTTTAGTGGTGCATGTACTTTCTTTTGTGTGTTTTTCTAATGCATCTAGATCTACTGACATGTTTTAACACATTTTACTCTTGAACTGAAAAGATTCAAAGTTGGAAATTGGCCTGTATGACACTAAGCTATATAGTACAAACCACGTCAATGTCTAAAACTAGAAAATACTACTTACAGAACTACGAGGAAAAAAGACTTTAGTATGAAAACATTCAATATATATGTTCTCTGCACGGCACCTGTTCTCAATCCTTCATACTGCACTTACGCTGCCTCTGTTCATACTAGAAATGGTCAAAAACCTCTTGGCTCAGAGTGCATATGCCTAAGCAATGTTATGCTCAATCTTTTATTAAAAGATCCTTTGATTAACCACTAGTAAATTTTACCAATTGCTATGGTAAGCTTGCACACATCTAAATACCTATTCGGTTGTCAAACTGTACATACAGAATGTGGCTTGCTTCTTAGGACTGTGCTGTGACTTGAAAACTTTATTGAAACTCTTGGAACAGAAGGCTAGAAGTTACTAAAAACATTGATTTAAATGTAGCATATGGATTTTATGTACTTTACAATATAGCCAGTCTTAACTGCAAGCAGCTTTTCTAAGAGCACAACTGTAGTGAATTTAAAAGAAAGTAATGAGTGTCACCTAGGGATTTTTGATGATGTTTAATTATTTAGATGTGCATTAAGACCATATTTACATATTTTTACATAAATTAAAAAAACACTGAAGACATAGTTTTCCTTCCTTGTACAAAATAAGGGAAAGATTTGAAGGTTGTTGGAAATTGGGGTACTTGAATAAAAGAGCCCTGAGTAATATCAGGGAAGTTATTAGAATGGTTTAATTGTCTACTTAATCATTCATAGAAGCAATTCATAAGCACTAATCTCTGAACTAACATTTAACACAGGCATTCTGTTAGGACATACCAGTTTACAACACATTTTTGACACAGACTTCAAAGTAATGTAAATATTCCTTATGAAACTAGTGCTGTCAAACTCATTCATTAGTTGTCAGTACAGCCTCGTTACCATGTACTGCAATCCAGTTGTGTTATTTATTGCTTACAAATGCTTCAAACTACAGGAAGTCTTTGGTAAAAACAAAATTGATAAAATTTTCACAATAGCTTTACATGTAGTATTGCACAACAAGGCTTTTTCAATACACAAGAAAAAAGGAATGCTCAAATCCTCAGTGAGGAGATTAGATCTGTACAACATTCATTAGTTTACCACTATAAGCAAAATTTCTTTTCATAAATGTTTAAAATATTTTCTGGTTTCTTTCAGCTTATATGAACATTTATTTTTCAATCTATATCTGAAACAGAAGAGTAGTCAAATAGAACAATTTAAATAAAAATTGGCAACTATACAGCATTGTTTTGTCTACCCTACTACAGCATCAGATCTTTTCAAGTCTGTTTACTTCACAAAAAACTCAAGAGGAAAGAAAAATGCTAAAAATAATCATAGTCCTCAGCCCTCTATGGAAAAGAGGAAAATAAGTTTCATGTCTATTATTGGACATAGACATTTCGCTAGTGGTCCAATTGTGCAGATTCAAACCTAAGTGGCATTAAGCTGCTCTAAATGAGCTCTTAGCTCAGGACACACTTCAGTTAGCAGCAGTTCCAGCAAAACCTGAAAAACAGAAAAGAGTTAAAATGAGCACAGGTGTCAAATGAGAATTGCTCTTTCCTGGCATGTTTAGAGCATCACAAATAACAGAAACAGAGTCATTCTGCTCAATCATGCAACTACTTTTCTTTCACCCTAAAGTTGGCATGTGCCCTGCAGATAACATGGGAAATGCCTTAAGGCTGAAAGAAGGCAAGCGCCAGGGGCAGCTGCTTGCAGGTGGGCATTTGCGGCCCTGTATAAACTGGCGCTGTTCTGTTAAAGCTGTGGCAGGTACATGAGCAAGCACCAGGGCATGCACTCCTGAGCAGGCTGCGTCCACGCCGGTGCTGAGGCTACATTATGTGGCTGGCTGCTGCAGGAAACGAGCCAGAAGAGACCGACTGAGAGGGAAGGCATTATGCTGGCATCTAGCTGCATACTCCAACCAGTCCCAACCAACAGCAGAGGAGTGGGACTTTTGGGGGGCTCATGTCTTAACTGTGAGCCAGCCCTGGAGCTCTCCTTCTCTAGAATTTTCCAAGGTACGTTTATGTTTCTCAGCTACATGAAGAAATTAGTTCACACCTTACGAAGTCAGGCAAGTTGGATGTGGCAGAGGCTCTTTTGGACAAAAGCAATACTGGTTTTAAACAGCTTTTTGTTATTCCAAATTAGTCAAATGATGGAACCAAATTTTTTCTGACTTAACAGAAAAAGTTAATTGCACGCAGAACAACACTCCAACATGAATCTCTGAAAACACACATCCCAGGCTTTAACACTGAGTGAGCAGAGCTCAGCAATTAACAGGATTATAAAGTTAAAAGGCTACTTTTCTGGTTACTCACATAGAGTAGATGCTTGTTAGCCTTTCTTTCTTGCAAGGCATTGAACACTTTCACTACACCATGACGGGCATTTTGTTGTCCAACGAGACTCTGCAGAGCATCTGCAACAAATGTGACATCAGCTTACATTGTTTCACTCACACTAGGCAAAGCCTCCAGTTAACTACTACCCACCAAGGAGGGGAAACAAAACCACTGCACTTCATGGCCCTTCCTTACAAGATGCATAGTCCCCATTCACCAACCTTTTAAAAACACATAGGTCACAGGTTGAAAAGATACCCTTATTCTCAAGTTACCCAAGGTAAATAATAATGTATGCATCTCAGTGACAACATTTAAAGTGTTTTAACATGATACACAGTACGCCTTTTACATAGTTCGCCTCGCAGACTCAAATCTAATCTCATACATTATTAAACCACTCAGTTAAATGCACCTTCAGCCACAAAGAATTCCTAGAATAGTTAAAACAGATTTAGCACTTTAATTGCCTCTCAATCTTCACAGAAAATACTTCCCACAAGTAAGCAGATAAGAGAATTCTAAGTCAATTATTTACATTTTGGATTAGAGAATAAATAGTGATCCAGTGCTTCATCATTAATTTGAAGTGTGTTCAGCTATGTCCTGACATCTCTCCAAACTCAGAAAAAAACCAAAACAAACCACAAACCAACTAGGGAAGGCTCTTCTAAGGTAAGCAGGTGAGGAGTACGTAACAGACTAAATGGAGGGTTGTTCACCCATCAAATGTTGAATATTTTGCATACATACCTGCTGCTATTTTTGCAGTAAAAGTTGATTAAACAACCTAATGCAAGGGGGTATATGAGATCTCAGTGAAGCCATAAAATAGCTCATTAAAGTACATTCTATTTAGATGGAGGGGAGACAGAATGCATTCAAGCTATGTTTAAGTGTGTTTCCAAGGGCTAAATGGAATGATTGTGGTTCTTTTCAGATAGGTGCCTTTGGGTTTACGTGATCTCTGAGGAGTCATAATTATGAAATGGAACTCGCTGTCCTGTGAATGGAACGGGATGGAGCATCTCAGAACGGTGCCCCCAGAAGCACACATGCCTAAGAGGAAGCTGCCTGGGCTTGGGAGGAAAGGGCAGACAAGGGAAAGTACTGGAAACTCCACTCAATCTAGGATGCTTCTGTCCAAGCTGCAGGTCCCTCTAACATTCAGTGCCCTGAAACTTCTCATCAGAAATAGACAGCAACACACAACACTGACAGTGTGGGCAGACCTCCCTCTTCAATTTTGAAATGTAAAAGAGAGAAGTAATTGGGGTGGTACCACTCTCCCTATTTGTCAAGTAGTTCAGGGAGCAGAACCACCTGGTATTTGCTCACAGAGAACCAGCAGAGAGCACCCTGACTTAGGTTCCTTGATGAATATTACATACAGAAGTACAGCAAAACTGGATTTCGCATCCACCAGTAACACCCAAATCCACGCCCTTTACCAGGCATACAGGAGAAGCAAAAAATATGGCCAAAATTATCCTTATTTACGCAAATAACCATAACTTAGAACTCTACAGGAAAAATCTGAAAATGCAACAGAACAGTATTTGATTAGCCTGTTTCCTTAGTAGTTATTAAACCTGTGATTAAGCAGAATGGAAGTGATCTCACCTGGAATGTTTTCAAGTAGTTTCTGCTGTGCTCTCTGTTTTGTCTCTTGCTTTTGTTCATCGCTCTTAGCTCTCGGTGGTGGTGCTAACTTTCCATTTGGCCAAAAAGCATCTCGAAACACACCAATATAGTAAACAAGCATTGGTTCACTGAACATCCAGTGTACAGTGTCACGGATTTGCCTGTAAAGAAGTGTAGAAAAGAGCACATTAGAGCTGGTCTTTCACGTTTTATGCAAATTTATTCTTTTTCCTCCTGAAAGCAGTAGAAGTGATTCTTGTTTTCATGTAATTATCCCAATTTATCTGAGCTGATTTCACCAGTATCCCAGCAAGACATATTCAGCTCTGCGTCCTCTAGGGTCTAGGTCACTCCAGATACCTGACTGAGATGTGAAAGCAGCTACATTTCAACATAATCCACAAACATATGTTACAAACTACAAGTACTACACTGAAATGTGTATGTATTTCAAGGATGGGCAGTACAAAGGCTCCACTGGGTCAAGACATAAAAATGTAGCGAACTCCAAACTAGTTGTATGCATGGATGTGCCTGGTGGGATAAAAACAGGTGAAGTTTTGATAAAAACACAGCAATTCCCTCATAGATACCAACAGCACATTAGTGAAGGGATTACAGAGATGTCAGGCTCCTTCCGTGGCTGCAGGCACTCTCTGTAGCCTTCAGCTGAAGGAGTCTGAGGCAGACAGCAGGCTCCAAGCAGTACTGCCTAATGGTGCCACAGTACACCCGAAACCCTTAACATCAATAAATATAAAAGTTTAACCAACATGTAAAAAGCTACACAGCAATTTTGCACATGTGCTGTGCTCACACACACATATATTCCTCCTCTGTCCTCTCTCACGTGTCTTTCATGATAGTTCACACATGCTAGTGTATGAACAAATTAACTAATCAACTAAAAAAAACAGTGAATGGATACTGCCAGAGACCATCAGTTCACCGGGAGTCAACTGTGTGACCTTCCATCACTTCTTGTCCCATTGACCACTACATAACATACGTGAGGGGTTTTAAGAGTCATGCAGGTATGCAAAGTTAGTCACTGACTGGGTGAAGGAACAGCCTGTTCCACTGGTACATTTCTCGGCTGTGACACCTGAGTAATAGTCCCACTGCTACACCAAAGCAAACAAATGCATTTCATCAGATTCTCAGTGGCCCTTTCTTTGCCTATGTGAATGTGCTACAGAAATCACAGATTTTTGTAAAAAAACATCAGCATTGACAAGAGCTTCAGTACTGATCGAAGAGTCATGGAAAATGTGTTTGTAGTGATCATCTGCTCTATTGAATCAAGTTTTCCTGTAGGCCTTTCTTTGTGTCTGACAAGAAAAGAAATGCTTTTCCAAAATTTTTCTGACCGATGATACAGCTTTCCACATGAAAGGTGTGTACAGACACGCACGCTTATTTCATCACCTCGCCCAGGCCTCAGTTGGCAGACGTGTCTTCAAATGATATAGAAAAATACCTTTATGAAAACACTGCTACACATGTACAGGCCTCATGTTATAAATTAATGGTTCCTGTCATGTACAAACATTATTTCAGTCACTTCAGAGAAACATGTATTTGATTTGAAAGCAATTACTTATAATGGAAACCTAGTTTCAGATCTGGCAAAAATTTTCATGGGACTAAGATAAAGCACAAACTAATAAAAGCCATTCAGAAAAACAAGACAGCATGTCATTTTACATATATGTAAAATGAAATCCTATGAAATACTGTGTTCTTTCAAAAGCAAAGCCCTGCGTAGGTGAAAAAATAATGGAAAAGGTAATTCACGTATCGGTATCTTCTCTAATCAGCATATTTATAAATTGACCTGTGGAAAGCAAATGCAGATTTCGTACATAACAATGTTCAGATTATTTTTTTAAAAAATTCTGCTCGTAAGTCTTTTTTTCATAGCACAACAAAGCAGGTTCAGTTAAAGTCACAGCTACTTACTTGTTGATAGTTCTTCCAAAAGTGACTTGTACTAGTGCAATTAAAGTTTTTCTAACCCACTTGAACACTGGAACAATGAAAAATGACAGAAAATAAGGATCAAATAGTTAAAAACATTAGGGAACCCATGATGATCTCCAACACTTTCACGCCCATCCTCTGCAATTGAAAAACCCCAGCCTGACCCTATAGTAAACATATCTGTTATAATCCTTTATAAGATTTCACTAATTGTACACAGGTCTCAGTTTTCTTAACTGCTTTCCCTGTACTGTTTGCTATATGGTTTTTAAGTGCTGCAGATTGCGTAACATATCTGTAATATGCATTTTTAGTTTACACTGTAAATTTTTACATTTAAGAATATTTCAAGTTTGAGCCATACAACTACCCAAAAACCCTTCTTCTACCAGAAAAAAGAAAACCCCTCAAAATTCACACCATGTTCATACCTACTAGTAAAATGTTTTTACACAGAGAAGTATCATTAAAATTCTGAAAACATTTTTACTCAAATAAACCAAGCATTTAGCTTTTCATTACAAATAAAGTAAACAAATGTGAGTGCTTCCTAGTAATTACTGGTTAATCTTTCTTTCACACTGGTCACCATCAGCACAAGAAAGTCTATATTTGGAAGATACAGCTGCCATTTTTGGAAGGTGCCGCATTTTGTAATAGTTACCCTGTAAATAATTTTATAGAGTGTCAAGTATGGCTGCACATTCAAATGAAAACAAAAGTAGTTTATTACCATCATCCAGTTACGTAAAGGAGGGGAAAAAAATCTGGTACTGAAAGATGCCACAATTTAGCATCTTTTCTACTATACAAATTGTAGAACTAAAATGCATACATAATACATTTAAAATGGACATTAAAATTATGTTGGTTTGTCAGTGACGTGTTCTGTAATAAAGCCATCTTTCCTTCCTCATAATTCCCACACTCTAATACGCAGCCTATTTACAGAAAACATGCTTTTGTACTTTTCCGTTTTTTTCCAGTTGTTTGGGTTTTTTTTTAATTAAAAACTTAAGAATATTGAATGTAGCTGCTCTCCCCTACCTGTTAATTTTTTGCTGCTGTGTTATATTGGAATTTCACATTTGAATGAAAGCACCAACATTATGAAATAAAGAACAGCTCTGTTCCAAACAAACTATCCATATAGATTGCAAGAACATTTCCACTTATTGAAACAGCTGAAAAATTCAGATTACGAAGTGCCCCAGATTTCTTGGCCAACAGATTCCACTAGCAAATAAGCAGGTTTACAGCTTACTTCCTCGCAGCTCAAAAATCTCTCCAATCAACATGAAACATGGTTCAGCAAGAGAGTCCCTTTTCCCATCCACCTCCTCTCCAGAGTCCGACAGGTCACTGTCCTCTTCTGTTTCTTCCTAGGAAGAGAAACACAACATAGGTAGGCACTGCAGTTCCCCATCCTTCTTCCAGAATGGATTTAGTTACTCTGGGGAAGGAGCACAGCCAACCCTCTCAAGAAAGGGTGTTAGAACTGGCAGGAGCTGGCAAACAGGAGGCAAAAGCCTCCTTTGACACAACACCCATGAAGAACATCCAGGATGGGGAGCTAGTCAGCTAGAGCCGTTTGCAACGCAAGCAGCTAGGAAGAAAGGGGGAGAATCTGTATACTGCACAGGGAGAAGCAGGTAGCTAGCTCTCTTGGAGAGCCACTCAATGGGATGAGGCACCAGCAAGCTGTCCTTGCAGTAAGCCGGGAACCAAACCCAGTGGCAGAAGAGGAACTGGCCACTGCAAAGACAAGCACTGTTAACGAGTACCTGTCCCAGGCAGAAACATAATATGGTGATACTTAGTGACCTGAGCCTGAGGAAACCCAAGCTCAGGGTACTGGAGGTAGTAGAGCTCTTCAGAACAGACTCATGGGAGACTGGATCAAAACACTTCGGTTTTGGCAGTATCATTTATTGAAAAATGAAGAGCAGACAGCAGGTTGTTTCTCAGCGTCATGAAGATCTGCTTCAGGACTAACACCACCCACCATTACTCGTGGTAGCCAGCATATCTCTTTGCTTTCCTGATCTTTCCCTGCCCGTCTATGCTTAGGGCGTGCTGTGGTGAGGTAGAACTGACCTCCACTGAGGCTGGTGCAACGCTCCAGTCTCTGGTTCAGGAATGGTCAGAACAGTGTGCAGACGAATTTTCTTTTTTCAGCCCTGATTTTCAGAGAAAGCCATCATTTCTTCCTTGTCATTCCAATATCTAATACTGATTTTTTTCACCTCTTTTCATCTAGCTTGGAAAACCTGCTTCATGCTCTATTTCTCCTGCATTATTTTGGTGTCGTTCTTGGCCTTGTTTTTATTGTCAAAATCTTCCAGTCACCCCTTGCGTGTCATTTGAACCCTGCTACAGAGAGTATCCTACAGTGTTTCTGTGTACATCAGTTCACCTTACTCCTTCCTCGCACCTGCCAAATCCCATCTAAAGCCCATCACTGACTTCAGCTATGCTTCCTCCCTGAATCTTCTCCAGACACAGCCCTGCACAGTTGTCTATAAATAACTCCACAGTGTTGCATATTCCAACCCTTCTATATCTTGTACCCTTCATTTCCTGTGTCATATTTGTCATTTTCTCTAGCACTGCTCAAGATGCTGCTTCTCTCCTTGTAGCCAGAAAAACAAAAGAAAAACAGCCCATAGCACTGAAGTGCACCATAAACATCCATATAGACTCCCCTGTTTACCAACTTCCACAGCTTGAAGAGTCTCCAGCTTTTAAAGCTTTGTGCTGATGTCAGGCTACGCTGTGACTGAGGGCAGGGGACAAAAAGCCACACCATACTGACAAGAAATGCCACACAAGGAAACCACAAATCATTACCCATCTTTACTACACAAGCACATAAATTCACTGACAATGAACAGAGTTTTCTCCACGGACACAGTCTAGAGCAAACTCCAGTCCTGCTCACTATCTTCCTCTGGTCAACAGGCTTCTTGGCCCTTCATTATTTTAATTATTCAAGAAACTCTTGTTTTACTTGATTTTTCATAGTAGACATCATTCCATATTATCATTAACCACCTGGGCAACAGAACATAAAATAAGCTTACTGAATTTGCCCATGAGCTTACTGAATTTGTCGTTAAGCCCAGAGGGTGCACTTTGATAAAGACAGATACAAAGCAGCAATAACTCACGGTATAAGTGCAGGAAATGGAACAACTGTTACTGGTAAGACTACAGAAAAATATCCCAGGGCCATACTGCTGTGGAAAAAGCCAGTGTAATACAATGATGTTTAAGCACAAACACAGTTTCTATGACATACGTACAAAGGGATATAAAAATTATTTTCATACATTGGAAAGGGCAAACCTAGTGAAAGCATCAGGTTTCAAATTTTAGTCACCATATTTTCAAGAAAAATACAGTAAGTCCAGAGAAAAACCTTAAGAACTAAATAAAACATAACCTTACAAAAATTAGGAGAAATTGTGGCTCTCAGTCTAAGAAATAAAATAATAAGTTCCAAAGGAAAGTAGTAACTTCTGATAACTGAGATGATCCTAACCCAAACTGTTCTGTGTTTGCTGCAGACAGGACAAGAGCTAGCTGGCTAAAGGAAGGAATGTTTAGGTTGGACAGTAAGAAAATGTTTCTAACCATGAAGATAGCTGGAACTGGGATACGCTGCCTGGCTTGGCTAGAGAACATCAATTATCACAGGTTTAAAATAACAGATCAGTCAAACACGTGCCAAGAATTTTGCCAGCGCAGTCTCTGCTTGGAGCAGGAGGGTAAACCTGTTGACTGTTCAAGGTCCCTGCTCTATTTTTCTGCTGTTCAGTAACTCCCCTATCATTTAGAAAATGCAATGAGAAGTGTAAATTCTTACATCACAGTTTATCTTCCATCCATTAGCACTTCATATATCAACAAAGCCTTTCCTATAGATGGCATCAACTGCATTTTTTCCTCCGATCTGGTTTTGGCCTTGACAGCTCAGAAACATGTTCTAAAGCTAGCCCTGTTCAAGGAGCTGTATGTAGGAGAGATCTGAAATTGCGACAGTACCTAATCCTGAAAACAGCACTCAAGATAATATTGTTGCTCTAACACATATTTGAGAAATGTGAAATGAGACATAAAAGGCAGAGCTGCACAAGAGCATTTGCTTCTACAAAGTCCAAAATACGAACTAAACTAGGAATTCTCAGTTTAAATAGAACACAACTGTAACAGCTTTATAATGTGTGGTTTAACACAACTAACTTCATTAATGACCTTGTACTAAATCATTTAATCCTAACTGCTTTAGTCAATTATCCAAACTGCTATCACTGGGCAAGACTGAGCTGATGTAAAGCTCATGCTGAAAGACAAGGATGTCCAGGAAAAAAAATCAGAGCTGATCCCAGACCACCTCACAATTCCCCTCCCTCCACTTAATTTTATAATTATTTTTAAACTATGACAAATGCTTGTCATACTGATTCAGAGGGTCTAACAGTTTCCTATACTTCCCTCCATCTGTGTTCTGCTGCCTCATCTTACATTTAAGCTTGGGAGAGGAGAGGGAAGGTGGATGTGAAGTAGGATGATTTTTGCATTTGCACAGTGCCTGGTATAATATGGTCTAGCTAAAATTAAGCTCCTTGTCCCACAAGTAACAAGTAATTATTATTAAACTGAGTAAGAAGCCCTGTTCCAACTCCTCTCTTGTCACGTTTTTGCTCGACTTCCTTTAGTTTTTCAGCACTAGTTCCTTCATTTCTGCTTCATTTCCCTGTTCTCTCTCCTCTCTCATGCACTCTCATTACAAACTCCCTTTACTTCTGTATTTCCTAACTGTATCCTCCTACACACTCTGATAAATACAATATACATGCAGTCTTCCTTTTTCTGAATGATGTTTTACAATTAAATAGTGTAATACAAATAACTTCATGCTTCTATGCTACTTCTACCAAACAATCATTTTAGTGAACACACTTTTGTTTTTAGAACTGTTATTGAAGTGTAAAATTAGTTTATCAAACTTTCTTAATATTTATTACTCTGGTGAGACATATGCATTCAGCATCTAGGTGCAAATACAGTGCAAATCTGAAAAATGAAAATATATAGGGTTCTCTTATTCCTGAGATGCATGACCATCTTTTTGCCTATTAACAGACTAGCACTGTACAAGTTCCTCAAACTCCATTTATCCTGCAGAAGGCCAATCCACTGCACACAACTACAGCATATAAGAAAAGAATTATGTAACATAACATCATATAACTAAAAAGGGGAATAGAAGCAGCTCCTTGGAAGCTGCATATTTGCAACATGAATCACACAGAATAGAGAGCCATCAAATTATGGTCAATTTTAATCGATGAGGTATTTTAGTCGCTAATCTGTTCTCACTGCATTTTGAAAGGCAATGGGTTTTTTTACAGTTTAGTATCAAATTCTTCATCTGTTTTTTCCCCCATGGGCTCCCGACCGTGTTTGAAAATTCCCTCAGTGAGCCTGTACCGTTTGCCAGAATTCTTCGTTAATACTAGCTTTGCTTCAGAAGTTGTCCAGAAATTATTAAGGACACACAGCTGTTCCCCACCAAGAGAAGCTTCTTAAGAGAGAACTATTTTTACCTGTCAAAACCCCTCTGAAATATGCATGTCAAGAGCACAAAAAAAGAGGGAAATTCTGCTATAAAAAAAATAATCAATCTCACATGGACTGCAATTCATTTATTTGTGATAGGTTACACATTTACCTATATATATTTATCAAAGGGCAGGAAACTGACTGTATTAATAAACAATTTTAGAATTCATAGACAGCTCTTATTTCTGACTCTTTGTTCACCTACAGTAAATTAAAATCCACCTTTGCAAATGCCTTCCAATATTACCTGCCATTCACATACATTATATTAATGGTTCTCTGTGCTTACTTTGTATAAGTAATTAAATTTGGGAAGATTACTTTTCTACCACTTACCTCCTGATGAGAAAACAAATCACCAGGAAGTCGTTCTAGAAATGAGGAGAGAGAAAAAGAGGACTTCTTTCCTTGCACATCAATAACTTTGAGGTGCTCTGGGGAAGGGCTCAAGAAGGCGTAAAGTGCTTCACTCTGGCAGAGTCTTTCATCAGAGAGCAATTTCTATGAAAGAAAAATAATGACAAAACCAGCACATCAATTAAATATTTCTTATTAAGGAATAATATGTGTCAAGCCATCCAATAAAACTGATTAAGACATGGCTCAGAGGTAGAGCGAGGGAAAAAAAATTTCATGTCTCAAAGATACATCAAAGATACTTTACAAAGTTAGTTCTAAAGTGTTAGAACTAGTTAAGATTAATTTTTTTAATCTTACAACTTTCTTTTTAAATAAAGTTCTAATTCGTACGAAATTTGTTATGAAGTTTTGTAGTTAAAAGTGGCAATTACGGGATTCATTATTTACTATTTCTTAATTAATCAAAGTTTAAATTAACTTATGACTAGAGAATGGTTACTACCAGCCAAACTCATCTCAACTTCAAACATTTTAGACAACTTTGACATTTATAGCGTCAAACCTTACATCTGACCTATTTGTTCCAGGCTCTCTCTCCAGTCAATGGAGAGACAAAATCCATTCCAGAGGCATGATTCAATTCTCCCATTTAGACAACTGTTGGTTTTGTCTTTGTTTTCCTACCTGCAGAAAGTTATTAAGCTGGTTCTTGGATTTCTCCATGAATTTCTGGTCTATGGATTTGAAGGGCAGCTTGCTGAGAGAAGGCAACTGAACTTTCTTTAATGATGGAAAACACTGTGTAAGAGAAAGGAGAGCTCACTTAATATACATGTGCAGAAAAACACAGAGTAGTTCAGAACAGAAACGAAGACACTCATCTCCCTTCCACAACCCTCTCAGCACCTTGAAAAACACCTTCCCTTACCCACTATGGGCTGACACATCTAAACCCCTTCCCTTCACACCACCATCATTTATCCTTTATTGGGCAGAAAGGTTGAAGTACTGTAAAAAGGAAACCTTCTCTTGTCCCCAAAAGCTGTGTCTTCTAATAGCTTCCTGGAAGCCAGAGACAAAAAAATCTACTTTTTAAAGCAGGCTCTTGCATGACAGTGCAGAGCATATACCATTTTGACACTGGGATAGTCCAGTAAACATTCATTATTAAGAACAAGAACAACAAAATTATAAACAAGTTTTGTAAGCATCTGGTGGAGGCCAGAAACACACAGATAGAAAACTAGCTCTAAAAGGCTAAAAGCCAAAAGGCTGGCATAAAAGCCAGCAATATTACATTTTTATCTTGTTTTCCCTTCTCTAAGCATCAGTCTGACAAATTTTAGCAATTTGCATCTTCTGCCTCCCTTAAGTGAGATCCATACCTCACTGAGTTTCCGGTGTAGGTTCTGAAACTCACTGAGTTTCCTGGGAACAGTCCAGTTCTTAGTTTCAGCCCCACCAACTTCTTGTAAACTCACCATGACAGAGTAACAGGGCACTTGTTCTCCATTCTCTTCTAAAACCTTGTGGGGAAGAAACCAACAGATAAGCTGTTCTACTTTGGAAGCAAACAGTGGAACATTCGGGCTGCCAGATGACTGGCTTGCAAATTCAGTTGTCATCACTGCCCCATGTTTCTTTCAGTTTGAAGGCTACACATAGAACAATACTCTTAAATAGACTAAGCTTTACCCTAAATGCTATGTCAGTCCTGGATCAGGCCTCAAGTCAGCTGCTACTACATTTAACAGACAGCTTTGCAATCCTGTCCATCAGCAATCAAGTCACCCTGACATGTCTTCTTCAAACAGCTGTATGTGTGTGTTATTTCCATTTTTCAGGTAACCTACCATGTAGCTTTCTGACTGCATACCAATACTCCATCTGTTCCATCTGCATTTTCCTGACTGTTCTCCCATTCTTCTCACCCTCCTTTCCCAGTGCAGTGCTCTGCAGCTGGGTCCTGTGGCAGCTGATGCTGTGTTTCGCCAATTATCAGGCCTAGCATAAAGGACACAGCCAGCATAAAGATGAACCAAGAACCAAATTGTATTTGATACAAAAGGTCAGTACATGGGTGAGCGCTGGGGGTACAAACAAGTCAGTCAGATTATATATAATCCACATCAATCCCACTGACCACAACACCGCCACCGCATGACCAACAGTGGGTGGAATAAATAGTGAAATGCAGTCTCCCATAGAAGGGACGGGAGACAACCAAATCAACAAGCCAAACACATAAGACCAAGGAAGCCACATACTGAATCTCTACACAGCTCACATTTACAAAAGCCAGACCTGACTGGAGCCCAGTCCCGGGGAGGCAGGAGGTCCTTCCCCAACAGGGAACTCTGCACAGGGCATCCACCTCACAGACAGACACTGCCCCTGCCTGCAAGTGGTCCCAGCTTTTATCCCTCAGTGGGACACCTGACCCTTGTTCACTCAATGTGGGACACCTGGGGCTCATTTCCCCAATGGCTCTCCCTGCCAGGCCGGCCGCACCCTGGAGGGAAGCCTAAAGGCAAACTCACCCCCCCTTTGCGAAGGGCTGTGGGAATCACCCACATGTCAGCCTTAATTTGGGGCTTGGGGTTGAAACCCCAGCATTTCATGCTGTCTTCAAGTAACTTCTCTGCTCATTTGAGCCATTCTGCATGCACTGATCATGTAGTATTCATGGAGTGCTTATTTTTGAGGGGCTCAAAACTTTACAAAAATACTAATGAACAGAGCTACACAACAGACAGAGGAAGGAGAAGTTATTAAACATGTTATGCAAATGGGAAAACTACAGCAAAAGAAGTTAGATGATTTTTCTTGAGACAACGGCAGTGGCATGACTATGTTATTTCTTAATTTGATGAGCAACCCAGAATTACACTTTTATGTCCTAATGGTAACAATTTTTTGTTTTCTTATTTTAAGGAGACAGACAAATAGATAATGAAAGCCAAATAAGGGAAATGCATGAAATACATAGCTGGTTTTGGCCAAGTCAAACCTCTCAAATGCTTGTCTTAATATACATGCAAATAACAGAAAGGTAATTATAAATACAACTCTCACACAATTGTTTCGAGGAAAGTAATAACTGTTAAGCTTTTTGGTTGGGGTTTTTTTAAGGAATATTTAACTAATCTAATTAAGATAAGAATAAACTTTAAAATTAATATAATTGTGACACCTTTTCTGAGAAGCCTGATGAGTGGCTACATCGCCGCTGTATAAGACACACAGCTAAAATGTATTTTCTTATTTTATGGCTGTTCAGAGCTGTACATAGAGAATACTCCCTGCAATGTACTCTTAAAGCTGCACATGGACCACTGGAAAATCCAATCTGAGGCCTAGGCTTCACACTTCTCTGTAATAATGGCTGCAGCAGCACCTGGACAGAACACAAAGCACCACCCTGAACATCTAAAGATGTGCCTCATTCCCAGTGCATCTGTTTGGGGAACTGCCTTTCATTCCCAGTGCATCTACTTGGGGAACTGCATTTCTCCCACCACACTACTGCACAAAGAGATGCTTGAATAGCCTCTAAAATGTAGGTCAGAGGGACCTGGCACAGAGGGACTGGGATTTCCTGGGACAGTCCCTGTCCTGTCTACTCCGGAGCTAGACTGGATTTGTGTTTGTAGGTGACTCACAAACACCTCCCAGCAGCCACTTCTGAAACTGGGAAATTAGTGCTGAAAATGCTGATCTGAGTCACAGGTATCATTCTCCGTTACACATTCATCCCCAGGGCAGGGATTTGCATGAGCACAGGGTCAACTGAACTGTAATTGTCAGGAGACAGTCATTCCTCTGGAAGGGCATTCTTAAAATGGGAGAACTCAGTACTCTTTCTGCTTTCATGTTAGGATCCATATGCAAAATCATTTAAATTCTAATTACTAGATGGAAACACATTACAACTTCCTTCAAATAGCCTCATACAAATATCTGAAAGTCTTCAGGATCTTAAGAAAACAAAATTTTTGACCAACTTACGTACTTGTGCATTTGTTTTTCCAAATTAATGTCAACAGGAAAATGCATTGAAAAATGGGACGTTAAGGGGGTCTTCTAAACCAGGAGACCTAGTCCTTTGTTGTAACAGGCATCATCTCATTCAAGTGCTATAATGAATGAGTTCAAACTTGTGAACAATTTTTTTTTTCCATCTCTGTTACACTAAAAGTCTGCTCTAGACCCTCACTCTAGTCACTGGAAGTTTCATTTCAATTTCCCAACTAATTTCCCATTTGTTCCAACAACTCCTCACCCCTCCTTTATCTTTATTGATGTGTTTGTATAGACAGCTTTATTCATCTGAGGCTCACGTTTGCTAAGCTAAGCAAATGGAAGTGTTTTCAGAATCACTTCTCATGAGAGAAGGTCCTCATTCAATCCACTCAAATCCACCCTTCTCAAACATCAACAGCCCAGCACTTGCAGAGCAACTGTAACACTTCGTCTCAAATGGAAACGCCTCTCCTGATATATTTGAGGGCTACATCTGCCTTGTTCACATCTGCAACCCACTCAAGACAAACTGCACATCTGACAAGCTACCAGCATACCTACTGCTTCCAGCCAAAAGGTGCTCCAGCAGGTCAGAGCAGGAGCCCACAGTTCCTGCTGAGTGCCAAACCTCACGTGCCATGCTGTAAGATTTCAACGCACTTCTATTACTCCCATCCTAAAAATCATCTAGTTCTTCCTGAGAACCATCCTAACCCTCTTCCAGCTCTGATTCTTCATGAGCATAAACTTAACATTTATGCTCTGGTTTGGTTTTCCAAGTCCAAAGGTCATGTGATAGTCTCAGTCCTGTTTCACAGCACTGGCAAGGGCTCTCAGAATTAGGCCCTAGGATGGCATTTCCACAGGTCTCTTCAGCCCTTTCTTAGTCCTCTTCCTCAGTCTTTCAGGTTATTCACTGCTACTTACCTGGCAAAGACAGAATCAGCGCTCAAGTACCCAAAGAGGCTTGAGACTACTGGATTTTTTTTGCATTGGCAGCAACTCCATAACTTCAAGACAATGTAAAGATTAATTATTTCAGAAATTACTGTCTACTAGCATGCCATAAATACCTAGTCCACAAACGGCAAAGATTTCTACCTTCTCCCTATGAGGCACAAACTCCCAAGGTGGACAAAGATATGAACAAGGTTGTTGACACAACTACATCTATTAATAAAAACTAAAAGACATACACCAAAGGTAAGCACCTCTTACCGGGGTGCGTGGTGTGGTAACAGTAAAAAACATTCCATGAAATATTGCAAAAACAAAAGAGGAACAAAAATTATTAAATACTTTCCAGAAGCTATAGCTACTGTCTGCAGTAGGTAAAAATGTAAACTTAACATTAGCAAAATCTGTAATAATAGTTCAGTAAAGTAACAAGCTGCCAAGGAAAGCCACTGAATCACCTCTTAGAAGCACTAAGAGCTGGTCCAGACATCCATCAGGAATGATTAAACATTAACAAAAATTAGCCCAGTCATTAAGGCAGCAAAGAACTGTATGACTCACTAGAAACTTCAGTCAGAGCAACGCTCTGAAACAGCCCACCCAAGCTATGCAGCAGTGATACAGGGGCTAAACAGACTACTGTTAGTATAAAAAAAGAAGTCCTTTAAAACTCGCTTTTAAACATAGAAAGACCATGCAGAAGGCCTATCAGGCACATCATTTTCCTCAATTCACAGGCAGCTAATTACCGTAGCTTTCACCAAGCATAAACATCCTATATGCGAAGATATTTAAAGGAGTGAGACAAGCTAATTTTTCACCTTATTCAAACCTTCAAACTCCATTCCTTACGAAAGCAGAGATCCAATTAATCTTTAATTCTCTGAAGTGATGCTGTCAGGAAGATAGCTTATGTACAGCGTGAGCCTACAGCTACTACATAACAAGCATTTACTGGGTTCTTTTCATAGCAAGCATTAATAGAAAGACATGAGATGGTAGTACTTTGTTACCATTACATTCTACATTCATTCTACAATTGTCTACCCACACCCAAATGGAAGGGCAGAACAAGACACAAAAAAAACCCCAACCAAAACCTCAAAAAAAAAACCCCTTAACTTCTCCTTCAACTTACAGATTTAAAGCACTTTCTTTCTGGGTATTCTAATTGCTTGAAACTGTACTGCCATTAAATATAATAATAAAACCACAAAAATTTTAAGTACTGCATCTTTCAGACATAGCAGACACACAAATGTACCCAAGTGTGATAGCATGGTAATGTAACAAAAGGCAGTTCTTATCAAAAACAATGCTCCTAAGATAGCAAATTACTTTACCCAGTGCCACTATCAGTTCATGTACATGCAGGTATTTTTGTAACTCCATTACAATAGTGTCTGAGGACTAGAAATATGGTATATGCACCATAGTAGTCACTGGGGAAACAGATAAATTCAGAAGAGGTTAGGGTTTCCTTTCCTACCCCCAAGTAAATATGAAGTATACACAGTATGCACAAAGATATAAAGAAAATACATACAGGGTTTTATTCTTCTCTTCGTGCAAGTTTGAACTGACCCAGAAGATAAAAAGCCGTAGAAAAAAATTATACCTCGCCTGAGACAATGAAGGCTCTCCACATGCCAAGATTCTCACACCACCAGTCTGTTCTTGCAATGTGCAGCTGAAGGTCATTGTGCTCTCTCTCCATCAGAGTAATTTCATCCTTCAGCTTAGAAACAATCTGCACAGGAAAGTTTTTTTGATTACAATTAGTAGCAAAAAGCTTGTGTTACATGCCTAGTTGTGTCTAGTCTAGACACTATTCAGAAAGGAGAAAAGGTTCAAAAGAAGGGAGAGAAAGACCAATTCACATGGAAAAAAACCTGTGAGAGGATCTATGATGCCTCTTATAAACTTGCAGAACACACAGGACTCAAAGGTCAACCCTGACATGAAAATAAAAAACAAGTTAGAAGGACATGCTACTATCACACTATCAGCATAAAAGGCACTTTAGATAGATTATATATTACACATTATATGTTTTATACAAACTTGAAATTTCAATTTCTGTCCAAGGAACCTGGGAATAGATTTCATTTCTAGGAACTTAGCTGTGTTAACAATCACTCAGAAAGTTACCACTTAATTTGTTTTAGTTTTGGAAAGGGAAGGATTTATTATTTTTGAAAGCACATGTTTAAAAAAATGTTCTCATCAAGGCATAGCTCACTGTCATAATCTCATAAAGGAGAAATAGTGTATCACGTCACATCAGTAAAGAAATAAGTAACCGTACATACTACCAGGAGACAGTATGATAAAAAAAGGTGGAAGCATAAGATGTGACATTAGAAACACAGCAAAAGCAGCTAACACTTTAAAAAAAAAAAAAAAATTATATACCACAGTCAAATTTATGTCTTGTTGTTTGACTCGCATCATGAGAGGTATATTCTACAGAGCTACAGAAATTTTTTTTTTTCCAGAACTTTTGCCTCATGTAAGATACGAAATATCATCTACACGACAGCTATATAACAACCTTCTAGCATATATTTAGCCTTCAGAATAATTTTGTGGTTTATTTTATTTACTATACATCTTGCTGTATAGTCTATATACAGTCTATACAGTCACCTTATATGGACTCCTGTAAGCGGCATCCAGGAACAATGGATAAATACAGAAGAACTGGTAAGTTTCATCATAAGTAAATAGCTGCTACACTTCTAAAACAATCACTGAGACTTTATAATGATACTGGATCCATTTGACTATTCTGTTTCAAATATGTATATATTTTCAAAGACAAAGAAATTTAAAAAAAAAAAATACTGGGAAAACCCCACTACTTTAGAAAGGGTACAATCCCTGCCTCCCCAAGAGCTTAGGTATAAAAAGAATATAGCTATTATTTCTCAAGAATGCAAAGGGAACATACAAGTGGTACATCCGTGTGAATGCAACATATAAAGGTTTAGTTATATAGTATTTTTCATATGAAAGAAAAAAAAAATTAAAACTATAGTGCTAAAGAAACAAATGGTATGGCCTAACTCACACATACACAAGCACACCCACTTTTGTTTAGTACCTGTTTTGTACTTCTAACTCTTTTTGCTTATGGTGCAAATTTTAATTTAAAATCTAGCTGGTTATAAGAGCACCTCTTACACTTTCTCAAAGTGAGTTTTATGTTTGCTCCTGGTACAGGTCCATTGGAAATACAGAAGATCTGAATGAGTTAACATAAAACGCCTCCAACTTCCACCTAATTCCCAATAAGAGTCAGAGACATTCTTCCGTTTAGTAAAGTCCCATTTAATTTCAATGATTGTGTCACACAGTTTTGTTTGAAAATAAGGCTCAGCAAGCACTAGAAAGTGTTCTGGGTGGGGAATATTAAGGTTTTGCTTTGCTACTGAGGATGACAAGATTGAACTCTAGAAAGAATGGGGTCTCTGCACATTTACCGTGGTTGCACAGAATAGCCTGAGACTGCCCTCAGAGACCCAAGGGAGCTGCTGGGCTTCTGATGTGAAACACACACAAAAGGTGGCACCACAGTCACAGAATTCCACAGATCAAGTGATCTTCTATGGCAGCGGGCCTTGTGTATCAGAGGCATTGCCTGAGACTGCCTGTCATCTTTTCATGTCATCTTTGCTACTCTTTCTATTCCACAGAAAGAACTGACATAAGACTTCTCCCTACATTTTTATTTTAAAACTAGCAGCATTCCACATGTAACTCAAATGAGGAGTTTTCTTCCTTGACTGACTGGCATCTGAGTTGCACAGTGCTAGAAGCCACTTAAAGATGTATATACATGTTTTGTATGGGTTTCACAGCAAAGGCTTTTCAAAAAGAGAAAATAGCCCAAGAACAGCTTGAGGTTAAAGAATTTAATACAAAATGTGTGTGACATTCCACTTCATATGTCACAAAACCGTGGATTTTTCAGTAACATTTTTTACTTCATATGACCAAGAACCAAATTTTTCTGTCACATCCAGAGGAGAAAAAACGAAAGTCCCTGTGACAAGGCGCTCTCACACTGTCAACCCTAACTATCAATTTAAAAGCTCTACAGGTACATGTTCCTGCAGTAACACAGACATTAAAACAGAAAAAAAAAAAAAAAAAAAAAAGGGACATGGCTGTGCCCTTACAATTCCTAACAGTAGTGGTTGGATGACAAATAAGAGGTAATCTTCTGTCAGCTGAGGCCACACACAGAGTGGAGCAGCTGTGAGCAGGATACCCCAGAACAGCTGCAGAAATATTTCCAGTTGTCTGCAGTAAGCTCTGGCAGAAGGAAGATGAGGAAGGGACAGAGGGAATGAAGCTAGCCAGGGTGGCCTCAAACACTACTGTCTGCATTCTTCTCTTAGTGGTGGCTATCCCCACAGCTGGGGCAGCAGAAAACGACTGCGGTGTCAACTTCCATTCAGACCAGCATCTTAGCACTCACCCCGAGTGAAGGAACAAATACACCAGGAACCCAGATCCTGAGCAATGACTAATGCCCAGGTACATTTTTGCCATCCCTAGCAGAAGGCCATTTTAGGGAGATGCCTTAACTACTTGTTTGTCTCACTCACCGTCTACCATTTGCAGCCAGTCTCACTACACCTGAAAAGCTTGGCCCAGTTGCATATGAACAACAGTCCTGTAATATCATCCTTGGTAGCAATGCAAATGAGTTGGCCTAAGACAAATGCAAATGAGTTGGCCTAAGCCAAATGCAAATCACTTCCTTCTGCCTGAATGTGTTCTTAGATTGCTTAACTGTTGCACTCTGCAAAGAGAAAAAGACATTTTTTTAAAAAAGTTTTTTTTAATTCAAGCCCAGAGAGACGAAGTTTAATATCCCTCAGAATTTTCAGTCTGATGAAAGTGTGCCCTGCAGATTTCTTCTAGCTCCTTATAAAGGAAATTAGTCACTTTTATAGGTTTGGGGTTTTTTTTTCCCTTTTATTTGAGCAAGCCAGACACAACTATAGAGATCATGAAATTGTGCTGTGCTACACCAAAACCAGCAGAGGGAGCAGAAGTTACCTAGCACATCCCTCCCCTGCAGTGTTGCAGATGAGGCAGGGACATGAAACAAGCTGTCATAAACACACAGATATAGGTGGGCAGAGATGTAAGGAAGAAACACTATTTGCCACGGACAAAGCAGCAAGACCACTGGGAGAGATGTCGTTATTCTATGACAAACAAAATAATATAAATCATATTTGCAATGTTAGTTACAACAGCTTTAAAAAAAAAAATGAAAAAACAAACCATTAAAACTAAGCTCTGATTTCGCTTTCTATAACAGTCTGATTGAAACAGCAATCTGACCTGTCCAACACCAGCCTGAGGCAAATGGATATTACACAAATATATATATATATATTTTAAAAAGACTGAAGACACTAAAGGTACAAACCTTTTTGTCAGGTTTTGGTGAATTACATAAGGAATTTAGAGCTTGTTTCTTATACTCAAGCTTGTCATTTAGCTGGCGAAGTTTATTTACAGCATAACTGGCCTGTTCATTAATTCTTGTGCTGCATTCTTCAGTAGCTTCTTCACAACCTTGGCTCTAGAAATAGAGGATGGGAGTAACAGCATCATTAATATGAAAAAGGAGACACTTATTGTTTGTTCCATAAGCATTTTACATATAAGAACGCTTCTTGATAGAGACAAAAGTGTAAGTATAACAGATTCTAAGAGATATTCCAACCATAAGATCCAACATGAAGCGCAAGTCTGTTAAAACAAAACCAAACAACCATCTCACACAAAGCCTCATTACCATTTATACTACAGCTCTGGCAGCTCTTGCCAACTGTGTAGAATGACCTTCAAGCTAAGGTTTTAGTGTAAATGAGAGGAAGAATCAAAGTTTATTTTAAAAGCAACAACAGCTTAGTAGTCATGAATGATATTCAGAACCAGATAGAAAATCAGATACTTAGCTCTGAGCTGAAAGAATGAGAATGGAGGGGGCAAGACAGGAAAAAAACAACAGAACACCACCAGATCTAACAAACACTCCTGCCTCCCACAGATCTTCACAAAACAGATTTATCAGCCTGCATAACAATCTAAAGCAAGTCCTTTCTCTTCATAAACAGATTTTACTGCTGTTTTTAGAAGTGTTAATAAAAATGTGTCAAAATCACATACGCATTACCCTAAACTCACAAATCATTTTCTTACATTCATTCAGACAAACAAATAGCTTTTTCCATCTTGTGTACTACAGGCATGCAAAAAATAGAAAACTTCACACCTTTCACTGACATTCTCTTTAATATCTTTTGGCATTTGCCTCAGCCTCCCCTTTCTTACTTTTTTTCCCCAAATAGGCATGAAGACCTTGAGATCCAGCAAACAGCACCGTGATGTTACCATTGCCAAAGATACTTGAGGTCTGCTTGTGACTGAATATATCTAAATTTATCTGTGGGAAGCTATGAATCTAATCTCATGAACGAAAGTTCTGTGTTATTTAATGATATTCCGACTAAGTAAGCTGTATCTTTATATAATTAACAAAAAGCTAACAGAAGGAAGTCTCATACTCTACTAAATTCTGTAAGTTTCTAAGAAGACTATCCTACTTGTAAATTCTGTGGTATTTTATATCTCAGTAAAAAAAAGTCTGAGGAAAGATACAGTAGCAACAATAATCAATCTCCTTAGTGTGATCTTCATAGGGGAGTCAGGAGTTATAGGCTAAGAAATCCATGCTCTTTTCCAGCTCTGCATTTGCCTAAAAATAACATTAGATCTATGCCCCGTCCTTTCTTCTATCTACTCTGCATTGACTAAACTCCTCAGGTCATAGACTAACTCCAAGCATGTGTACAGAGCTCAGCTCATGGAAGCTGTTTGGTGTCTCCTGGCGCTACAGTAATAGAAATAATAATAATTAACAACACTGTTATTCAAAACACTATTGAACAGGACCATAAAATTAAAAAAAACCACATACTTGTTGGGAAGCACACTGGTCAAAAAGAATCAAAACTGCTATTTTCAGGACTGAAGAATTAAAAGACTTCTCATATGAAGTTTGGTTTTAGTAATCAAAAAACTGCCCTTAATTACAAATTAGTAAGGCTCTGCTCCCAGAGGAAGGCTACATGACTTTTTTGTCATTAAGATTTCAGACACTTGCAGCAAAAACCACTGCTGAATCACTAGGTTTATCACAAAAATGCTAGAATTACAAGATACCCATATTCAAATTACCAAAGTTATAAAATAAACAACCAACTCACTCAAAGCTGAGATCATAAAGGATTGTGCTATTTTCCTCTGATTGCTAAACTGATAATGACTTCCATTTCTGTGCATGATGCAGAATACAGCCTTTGGGCTTATTTTAGCAAATCTGACACATGCAGCACTGATGCAACCACCAGGCCCTCTTTCTTCAAAGTAGTGAATGGGGGCACTGCTTGCTTCTGTGTACCTACATCTACTCATGACCTTCTAAAGGAGGTTTGTTGCAGGAGTGAAAAGTAACAACAGATCGGAAGGAAGAAGAAAGAGCTTGTTCCACACACGGCAGAACCAGCAGAGTCTGGCCTTTCCCCAATTTCTATCTTCTGATTTGATTTTCTCATGTATAATCAGGGCTCACCCTTTTGTCCTCCTCTCCATGAGGACACTAGATGGCTTTTTTACCTATCCACATGCAACAGTGAAACTTATAGAAAAGTAACATAGGTAACTCCCACAGCACCCCAGGAAGCAAGGATGCACACCTCCAAACCCCAAACTAAACCAAAACGAATTAGTATTTGCTAACAGTATGGATCCCTCAGGAAACATCAGAATTCTCCGCTGTGGTTTCCTATACATGGTAGGAAAAAAAAACAAACCTATTTGTCAGTAGAGCATTTTCACCAACATTTGAGAGGCTACTGGAAGCTTCAGAAAGAATTTATCATTTATTTTCATCTCAAAGACCCCGAAGCATGGCACAGAGCCAATAGGATTGCTCTGAGATATGCTCTAATGGTATATGCAACTTCATACTTTATTTGGTGTTAAAAATGCAAAACCTCTTTAACTATATAAGCAAACTTGGCAATATATTAGTCTTTAAGGTTTCAGGGCAGATGAAGCCTTTCAATATGGCACATATATATCCAAGGACTCAGAAGGACAGGATGATGCTGATGTCAAAAATCTATTTTTTTCCAGCAGCTGTAGTAGTTATCTCACAGAGGACAGCCAGCCCTAAAGTGTTGTGTCAGTTTTCTTAGAGAAACAGTTATCTCTGTTAGACTCTTTATATAAAAAAAGAGATTGAAAAACATGTTTAATACTTAAAAAGTTCTGGCTAAAACCAGTAACAGTCTTCTCTCAAAGTCCCAATTGTTGCAAAGCCAAGGACAGAGAGCCTTTGAAGTACCTATTACCTTTAACACATAGCTGAGTTAGCAGTGAGAAAAGTAGAAAACACATCTTGAATCTTTTATCAAGGAAAAGAATACAGGGAGAAACAAACAATGAAAAATTCAGAAAGCTCTAAAAGTTCATATTGGAAATAATTTACTTGTAATGGGTCATCTCTGCAGATTTACTGATATGCAGACTACGTAGACTGTAATAGCTCACCTACAGAAATGAAAATCATATTTAAGCAGTAAATTTAAAAAAATATTTCTAAGTGGCAAAATGCAGATCAGCACCTCTGCATTCTGCTGCTTCTTTGTCCAGTTAGATCCAGTTTTAGACAAATTATTACACTTCATCGTGTTCCGAGCAAGTTCACATGTGAAAAGAAGATATCGAATCTGATCTGAAGCAGCAGCCTGACTGAAAGATGCTCACTAGTTTGAGGGATTCTCCTGTCAAAATGTTCTCAGGTAAACATATCACAAGTTCCCCTGACATGACCAATTTAGAAAACCCACTGAAAAATCCTGCCCTAGGAGAGCTACCACTGGGTTATTGTTTATGATATTTTGAATGTTCTGTTATAGTATTTCCCATTCTAGTGCTATTTTTATCACTTTTATCTTCCAACATAGACTATTTATTCAATAAAATAATTTTTAAAAGCACTAAGATTATGTTTTGAATTACTTTTTCTCCTCTTTTGTGCAACTTTTAATACCTATTTAGTACATAGTAAACGCATGGCGGACAGGGACAACGTCTAGACAGAAACATACTGATGATGTTTCCTTCACTGAAAAGCAGAGCAGCTGAGCTTGTATGAGGTAAGCTATGCATTCTCCAATGCTAAGAAGCATAACAAAAGATACAGAATATGAAAGGCTTAGAAATCTGAAATATCTGCTTTATCTTTTGAAGTTTAAGTAGTCAGTCATTTTGTACCATTTTGTTTCAAAGACCTTGTAGACATACCAGGTTTACCTGATGAAACTACCAGAATGGTCGTATTTATAAATACATCATTTAAGAAAAAAAAAAAAAAAAGGCAGTCCAAAACTCAAGGACAGAACATGCTACTATATGCTCTACTCAGGATCATCTTCAGATCACCTTAAATAACACTGAGAGAAATTGTCCATACGACTCACCACTTCATCTTTGTCCTCAGAAGTTAGCTGAGCACAACTTCTTTCATCTTCCTTCTTGACTGATCTCTCGTATAAATCACTGACAATGAATGAGGGGTAGTATCTGTCCTTCAGAGTTTCGTAAACATCTGCCTGAATTCTGTAGAATACTTCAATTCCTTTATTTCCCACGAGACTCTGTTGTATTTCTTTATAAAGGGATTTTTCCACAGGTATTTCTCTGTTTTCCACAAAAAAATTCTGATAAATTTCACTCACCAGTTGAGGTATTTCAGCCTAGGAAGCAAGGATGAGAGGGAGGGAGGAGAGAATAATGAGTAAATGTTAAAAATATCAGGATGATTCAGGATCCAGGTGTATAATTTGAAGGATGATGAAGAATTTCACACCCAGATGTACGAGAACACACCTGTGAATCTCTTACTGAGATCAAGCACTCTGCCTGCACACCTATGCTGAGCAAGATAAATACCATATTTGTTAAGTGAAGAAACAGCTGTGCTCTAAAATTACCTTAAGCTTCCACACTCACTGCTTTTAGAGGTATGCTCCAAAAACTGGTATTAAGAGGAAGAAAAAGTGCTAGAACAACACTGTGGTCACCATTTAAAGTTCAGATTGTAGAGTTCACTTGTATCTGCTCTCCTGACTTCTGCTGGATAGGATCAATTCACTTTAGATGCGACTGCAATTAATTTTTGAGGAGATGAAGAAAAAAGAAGGGGAAAAAAGCACACCTGAAGAGACATTTACCAGTACAGGGTAATACTGGGTATTTCCGCTGAGCACAGAACAGCACACAGGATTGAATTTTGCAGTAAATGAAAAGGAGAGAGGAAGTAATGCAGCACAGTCTGTGATCATCTGTAAATTATTATATCTCTAAACTGACCTGAATTAAAAAGGTTTTCTCCACTCCCTTAGTATGGCACAATGTGCTTGCCTGCCTCAAGTGTCAATACCACACGGCTGCATGACGCTTACTTTTTTGTAATCAAAGCTGCCCCTGTAGTGGCAGGCAGCCTTTACATTCTGTGGAGCTACAGGAGCACAGCATGTTAGGATCTTTTTTTAAAAAATGGTAGGTCTTGAATAATGGCACTATACATACTGTTTTGAAAGCAGAGAGAGAAATCACAGCTGAAAGGTCATCAATTTATAGCACCTTTTCCAATCATGAGCAGTTTGAAAATCAAAACTAATCTATACAACTCTCTTCACAGTGCCTGACAAACCCCTTTAATGAACATTTTCTGGCCTGAGTTGGTTGTTAGCCATTTCTTCAGATTGTATTAACGGCTCACTACTCGTGCTCACAATTTGCCGCTTTGGTTACAGGATGTTACCTGTATTTTCCAATTGACTAAAATCTTTTAACATATGATATTAATAAAATTACAGTGAATAAGAAGTTAACTGATGAATGAAATTTGTATCCTGTATAATTAAATTTGAAATTTGTATTATAGTAATGAAATTTGTATTTCACGCTGAAGGTTTAAAACAATTTCCCCCCAAAATCCACCCTACTGCTCAAACAGTAAATTTGTCCCCTGCACCACTGATCCAGGATACTTCTTGCAACTAAGTGATATTTCCTACCCCTGTTTCAGGGTTCTCACTCCTACTTTATTTTAGCACAAATTACTATATAGCATTGTTTCTTCCTCCTAGCAATGGTGCGGAATTCTTGCAGAAACTTAGCTGCTTATACAGCAACAGAACAGGGAGAGGAATGAGTCCTTTAAAGCAAAATCTCTCTTTCAAAAGGATTTAAAAGACACTTATAGACAAAAATTTCAGAATTTTAGATTGAGCGAGCTACCTGTAATGGGCAAGATGATAAATTTATGTACAGACTATCAAACAGTAATGCACTTTTAAGTTTCACTGGAGCTGATACAATGAAAGCCAATATATTACTGCAATTTTTTTCTCTGGTGGAGGGGGAAGTAATTCCACTACTGTTGCATATCAAGTATCCTTTTTACAGGTGATGTTGCTACACAAAACAGTCCACAATTTTTAATTGCCATATTATCCTCAAACATTGACATGAAGTTAAAAAACCTAAATTGCTTAGCACCCATCCTACGGTATTGCTATTTTAAAAACATAAATACAAGCACATTTCCTAACATCAAGATCAAAACAAGTAGAAATTCCTGTTAATATACAAGCTGCAATTTCTTCCACCTTGTTAGCATTCTTCAGATACTCCACAGACTCCCAAAGACCAATCAAAGCCATTTTGTCCATCCTTTCCATGTAGATTCGGAATTGCTCTCGATATGAAGGGTTGGCCAAAATTTCTTCAAACTGAAGAATCTGAAGAAAGGAAAACTAAGAGTAAAACCTGGGAAAATACCTAACTCTACCTTCTCTCCATCTCTTATGAGGAAAATCTTTTCAATTGATGTGCCCACAGAGCACCATGCATCCCACAAACACGTACAAGATTCAACTGCACAGACCTACAGTAATAGTTTTGCTTCTTTAAAAAAAGAAATAAATACAAGTTATAAGTATTTAGAAGATAAATGCACCTATGCTTCTACCAGACAGAAAATGTTTCCACGTGTTTTCTGTTCAGGAGGTAAGACTACATTTCAAAGGACTAAGCTCGCATTTCAAGTCATTCATGAAATGCTATTGCCAAAAATTCAACTTCCAATGTTCCCGCAAGGCAGAGGAGCCAAGCTAACTGATCTATTCTTTGCTTAATTCAAACAAAGAGTAACACCAGCAGTTTCCATGCCACAGGCCACAGAGCTCTGAGATGTATCTCAATTATTCCCAGAGACACAGAGAAAGATGGAATGTAGTTCTTTACCCTGGCAGCTAGGGCATTTGGCAGCCAGTTCCCATTAACTGAGTGTTATTGAAAAGCATCTATCAGAAATGCAGCCAGGAAAAAAGTACAGGCTGTGATATAATGCTCAGGACTCTTCCTGAGATGAGAGAGGAGGGTGTACATCAAGCACGAAAGGAAACGAAACACAGACTTCCCACACCCAAGAAGATGTTGCAGCCATTAAGCTGTTGCATTAAAAAGCCATTATCACTTCCTCATCCTCTACTATTTTTGTGAATCCAGGCCTTGAGACAAACACCTGAAACCAAAACACCTCCCTGACAAAATGAACAGATCTTCCCATGTTGAACAAAATGAACAACACTGATTTCTTTGAAGAACAGATGAATTTTCAAAACACCCTATCAAAACTAAACACCCCTTCCTCTCCAACTTTTCAGTTCAGCAGATGAATCAGTTGTTATATAGCTCATTTAGTGCCATTACTGACATCACCAGGAATCCAAATACATCAGATGGTCTCGGTCTCTTACTTTGTACCTCACTGCCACCAACCAACCCACACCTTTTTCTTTGAAAAGCACTCCTTAAGCACTGGGGATCATGAATCTTAGCTTTATAGGACTTTGCATTTTATAGCAAAGATAATTTGGTACAGAGCAAGACATGAATTCCAACTGATATTGAGGCATTAATAATTTCTTTCATATGGGTTTTCTGATACTTAATAATAGTATAATTCAGGTCACGTATCCGCATCTCTCTCTCTCGGAAGACAACTAAAACCTAGTACCACCAAGTTAAATTTAGAAAAAAACTATTAGCTGGACTCAAGCTCTATGGGAGGAAACCACATACACATGCATGTATACAATTACTAGCACAAGTCACTTCCTTAATAAACCAAGCTAAAGAAGGTTCTTTAAAAACTGTAGCTATCTATGTTTTGTGTGAAACAGGTCCCCCAAATTTTAGGTAGTGTTTAAGTAAATTGTGTTTGTCTCAGCTCAAATGCTCATTTTCATGTTCAAAGTTCCTCATAAGTCATGCACCATTCCTCTCTTCATCCTTTATCATACCAGTATCTTCTGGACATGGCTTGCTCTTAGCTTCAGAGCTATTCAGGTATATGAACAAAAACTTCTGCATTTCAGAGCTCCTTCTATAATCCTCACTGAATAGCAGAGCCAGGCTTGCTGAAGCTAGGCTTCTTACAGAAATAGTGATCAGACCGTCAAAGAAGAACACAGAGATGACAATACAGCCAGTCTGTGGTTCAGGACCATTGCTGTGCATCATCATACTTTTTATTCAGTCATTTTATCAAGGACAATGACTTAAAACACAAGTGGAGGAGGGTCTTCCAGCCTCTTGAACAGAAATCTTCATCTCTGGGCTGTCAGCACTGTAAATGATGGCAGAGGTATGATAGATCACAATGTGAAGCATGTGCTGTCGCCTCTTGAGTGAGAGGTCACCTTGGTCTCTATGCCTCTGGTATCCAAAGGCTGCCATCAAGGACGGTAACTAACAAACATCCCTAATAACCTCCCTAATGGTGCCTAATAATGCTATTACACAAACCTCCTAAAAGTTACCTTGTGAACTGAAATACTTTAACATAATACATTAATGGACAGAAAAGCTTATTTAAACTTCTCTTGCAGAGTAAGACCTCACAAGCTTTTTCTAAGTTTTTGTTTGTTTAAGGCTTGACTATCCTGGAATTATTAAATACGTTACAAATGTGGTACTATACAGATTATTAAGACTTCAATGACAACACTGATGGACAAAAGAAGCTTTCAGATTTGAGGTCATAAGTCATCATAAGGTGATGCAATCCAGGAATTATTCTGTGGAGGATTCTTCCTTCTCCAATTTAAAGAATGAGGTTCTGCAGTAATTTGTAATCCTCAGCAAAATAGCATTTTATGACTCAGTATCACCACAGATTAGAGTAAAAGCTCTAAGATATGCAGGCACATACACACGCATTAGGGCATGTGTACACCCTCAAATCTAATAACCAGTTGGAAGATATTATCTTAGAATTATCAGCCTCAACAGCAACTCTTCAAATCATTTTAACTCAAGAGCAGCTTTTGGGTTCGGAAAAAAACTGCAGCTTTACTGCTGCTATGTCAATTCCCTACTCCAACAGGAGAGTAACTAATATACCACAGCTGATCACAGGCTCTGCCAAAGACTAGAAAGGGGTTAGATTTTTTTTTTTTTTTCCTCTGAATCAGGGTGCTTTAACCAGCATCCCTAGCATACGCACACAGAATATCCTTGTTCCTGGCCAGAGACCTGCTCTTGGCAAGTGCCTAAAGATTGTCACAACCTCTCTGGAGGGGAACGTAAAGCAACTACTTAATTTGGAAGGGCCTCTATAGGCACCAGACACAGCACAGATGCACTGTGCTACATTTCTTTACCACACACCAGGTTCCCATTCATTACAACTGCACTGGCCTGTAACAAATAACCACAATAAAGCTGGTAACAGCACTGCAGATCATGGGTGGGGTGAACAGAATTTGGGTTGGTAGTGGAGGTTTTCTGCTGGGACGATGCCACACAGACTGCAGGACTTCTGTTTTCATTTGGTTTTGTCTTTTTTGTAGAAGACAGGAATAAGAGGAATGTAAAAAATAATAATGGAAAAATATGTGTCTCTTTCCAAGCTATATTTTAAAAAACATCAATAAATGCTTTACCTGTACACTGACTAAAATTAAGGCATATATTCTTATTTTTTAAAAAGAAACAAGTCATCAGAAGGCTATCTTTGTCACATACAGCAGTAGCTGAACCAAATGCAACAATTAGTTACCTATCAGGAAGGATATACTACATAAAGTACCTGGCTATTTTACTGTACAGACACTAATGGAAAAATCCCTACCTTGAGGCTCAAAAATATACTTTTGTCATAAAACACCCCATCTTCAGGTTAACAGGGGAACAACAATTGAAGCTTGCTTTCTTTATATCCCCCAGTTATGTACCATGAAGTATCCTGACATAATGTGATCTCACAACCTGAAGCTCAGAAATGAGAGCAAAGATCTGATCAGTCACCAGTTAAATCAGCATCTATCCACAGATGTGGTGGAAGCAGTCTTCTGCAGGTGTTTCAACTTGATCCTTATCAGGATTATGAACTGTCTGTGCCCCAAAATACACTCAGGTGGTTTCCTTGCTGTTTCACAGCTAGTGAACAATCAGATCCTCAGATCTCCTCCTACTACCTATGGTTCACAAAACAGCTCCACTAAGGAGATGCTGTGACTCCACGTCATATCTCACAGATGTGGTGATGTGGCTGTTGTGCTGAACACAACAGATCAAAAAAATGGTTTGCTGAATCAACACACACAAGAACTCAATTAATTACTGCAGTACAGTTTCTAAGAAAACGGACTACAACTGCACTGACTGTAAGTAGATTAGAAGAGATGCTTTATATATTACACTAATTCAAACTGCATTTTCTCTAAAAGCACATCTAACACCCAGGGCAGAGTATAAATCAGTATCTGAACTAGTAACAAAACTCAAATCACAAAATAGCTGGGGTTTGCTTGCTTGCTCATAAACATTTGATTATAATTCACACATTCAAGATTTCCCTAGAGAAGCCAGATTCAGGACAATGAGGCAAGTGAAACATGCAAAGTCTATATAGTCCTGTGACTTTCATGTATTTATCAAACAGAAAACTGACACTGCTTTCTAATTAGCTCCTGCTGTAAAAGGAAAAAAATGTATTTCAAAACACCTAATTTTTGTTTATTAAAACAGAGAACACTGACAGCTCTAAACAATCCATCTCCACATTTAAACCCATAATCAGAACATACAATAAAGACTTTTACCAGTGATGCTATTACTCCCAGAAAGCCAGCAAAAGCTTAGAAGCAGAGCAGCCCCTTATCCTATTGTTTACACTATCACTACAAGAAATGCCAGTGTGAGGACTCTTTATTTCTATTAATAGTACCATTAACTCAATATGGAGCTGCTCACTGGTATATTTGCAAGATGTAATTGTGGGTCAGCAGCTCCCCCCCAAAATCCATCAGGTTATAAAACATGCAACATTAACAACAGGAATTCCTTTCATTTTAATTACAGTACTATTGTATTTTATTATATTTCTGACCAATCTCTGCCCATATTCAGTGCAGCTTCTCTACTTGACCCCATTCCTGAACAATCTTACACCACCATGTATCTATCCTGGAAAGTCCATCACATCTCAGCAGGTACCAAAAGTGGCATCACTGGCTCATGTGGTGCTGCCACATGCTCCTCTCTTTCCTTTCTCCTTGGCAACTCTCGCTACACCCAACGTCAGGAAACAGATCAGGACTGCCTTGGCACAATCCATGACACACCATCTGAACTCAGGCTTTAAGGAAGAGTGGGGGGTAGGGAATTGTTCTTTCAGACCTTACTCAAGAAAGACAAAGCACAAGTAGCAAGAACTAGTTCTGCTTCATGCAACTTTTTCTTATGTGCCATTAAGTTACAATTATTATATGGACATAACGAAAATTAAAGATCCCTGCATGAAGAGAACTTTTACCTACATGAGAAAGATAAAAACTTCTTTCTAATTTGAATACATCAGTTACCGTGCTTTTCCCAAAGGGGACAGAGTTGATTACATAAAGTAGTCACTCAACTTATTGAAGTTCAACAAGGATAAGTAGCCATGATTTTATTTTTGTAGATGCTTGCTAATACGACAGCAATTTTTCCAATTTCAAACTACAGTAATGCTGAAAACCAGCATTCAGTCAACAGCTTTACCAGAATTTGTCTGCAATGACTGCTTTGATCAATTGCCTTCTACAAATAAGTGTTTGCTTTTGAGTAACTTAGTACTTGCAAAACCCACAGGTATTTCGTATCGTAAATATAACAGGGGCCAAAGAAACATTGCACATCTGTTGGCAATCTTTTATTTGAAAGCAAGGTGCTGCTTTCAGAAAGGTTGCTACCATGTCCTTATTAACTCCCTACATGCATGTGAAAAATCACACATGCTTACGAGCCACTCGGTCCTTTATGAAGTTTCACATTTAGCAATATTCCAAGTTGAGTGCTCAGTGTGTCTTTTCAGGTACTTCAGAGATCTTCTCCCAAAACAAATAAACTATGCAGCAATTAATTTTTACTTGACTCCTGGGGGAAGGGATTAATGACAGTGCTAACACATTCAGAATGACCTTCAGGCAATGTATGTGCTATTTGATTTATACCTTTTGACTCTGAGGGCCATCACCTTCATCAGAAATGCCATCTTCCTGCTGATCATAAGCAGGCCCTCCCAGGAGCTTTATTCTCTTCTCACATTGCTTCTTTGCCACTGTCAGCTGATTAATATATCTCTTCACATTGCGAGCCCTCAGTAAGTCAGCTTTCATCGCTGCAGTTTCTTTTCCTTTTGAATCTAAGAATAAAGCAAATCAGAAACAGTCTTTTACAACATGAAATCATCATTGCCCCACAAACTCTGTGAACTGCCTGATCAAAGCATTTGTCATCCAGGAACCAACTATGCACATGAGCAGATACTGGAAAGTTTCTGACCCTTCCACCTCTCTTCTCACACCTTACTGCAAGACATAGGCCCAAGGCTTGTACTGCAGAATGCACATTCATCAGAGCTTTAGGACGTTACGGCCATGGTGCATGATAACACATGGAGTTGGTGGCTTATGAACCTTACTAAACATAACACTGACTCCCTAGTGTGATGAGAGACTGGACTCAATGCCCTCCAGCCCAGTATGGCATGTTCCCATGCATCTCATCTGCAAATCCAGATTTCTTGAGCCTGATGTGAACATCATAGAGTATCTCCTCCAGACAGCAACACTGACCAAAGCTCACTCAAAATGGTCAGATGATTAAGAAAAAAAATCTTACAATGCCATATCAAGACTGTACAATACTGTTAAATAGTGAAGTAACATGAAGATGACAGTCAGTTGAATAAGACTTGGTAATAAATGGTGTAATGTTTGTGTATTCTACATTACAGCCTCTTCAGCTAATTACCAGGGCCTAAAAAAGCAGCAGCAGATAAAGTGGATTTAAAAAAAAAAAAACCCTACCGCATTGAAATAATTCCTGTTTCATATCTGCAGAATGTGACTTATTCACATTTATACACTGGTTTTATTTTCCTCTTGTTCAGTGGTAATACTCCCACTTTTGCAGGCTGCAACTAGAGTTTGGTAGCAAAGTACTTGGCTTGTACTTGGCTCTGGATTAATGGATTGCTCAGGGATAATTAATAGCGATCTATTCTACTATGTTTTTGAAATACCAAATGCTAGTAAAATGATGTAGATTAAAACAACTTTTCATTTTCAAAACAGTTGCTAGAGAGACACAACCAGACAGCTAGGTTTGTCAATGCATACACAGTAAAAGGAACTCCTTTAGGAATGATTTAAAATAGGTATTTTAAACACATTTCTAATACATTAAGGTACCTTCTCCTTTTAGGACTGTTTTCATCCTTCTATTTCCCCCTCAAAGTCACATGTAACTACCACATGTGACTGTAAGTTTTGTCATTTGTATACTGAAGGACAACTCAAGGTACATGAAGCTCCCTGAAGTTCTACATGTAATGTGAGTACAGATATTCTCCCAATATTTTTTCCCATATTCTTAATCTCACTTTATTCACTGCATGTATTTAGGTATGCTGGTAGGGAACCTTCCTGATTCAAAGACTGTTAGTGTTTTAATGGATAAACATCACTTGCATCTGGGCTTCCATGTAATAGCAAACTACAGAGATGACACTCACTGAAGCAAATGATAAAATGAATTTACCATGAAAAACAATAAGCCATCTGTTTTCCTGGCATGTTATCTCCACAGGGAAGTCAACCGAGCATTTAATTTAGTGTTTCAGTTCCCCAAAACAGAACTGAAACAGAACTGGTCAAGTATTAATGAGAAAAAAAGAAAGGAGAACATCAAAAGGCAGGAAAAGACCTTTAAGGACAAAACAGCTCTCACCCTCAATTTAAAACATTTACAGCTAACAGAAATACATGGACAGCAGTTTAAAGTGAAGATTAAAACCCAACATTTGCCCTCCTGTGCTTGATTCTATGATTTTTAAAAGTTCTCGGTTCTCTCAATAGTTTAAATACTTTGGCCTCAAAATGCATACTTGAAACCCCACAGTTTGAAAACCCACAAACAGTGCTACGCAATGATCATTTAGCCTTCCTAGAACAAAAGTACTCTTCTTAGTGAAAACAAGGTGTTCTTGGAGGGTTTTCAAATAAACATGTCTACTTTACCTGAAATCTTATCTTGTGATTGCAGCAGGCCTCCAGGAGAGACTAATGAGTCCTACATTCCACCTGTTTCTAGTGATTAATTACTTTATTTGCAAAGATCCTTCAAAAACATTTGCCTCACTCAGCTCTTCATATCCACAGGGAGACACTCCATGCAAGAAACACTCAGGGCAAAGTGATGAAGATCACACTTCCAGCCAGTTCCTGCTCCATGGATAAAGAGGACTAGTCACCATGAAAGCCTAGCAGTGACATCCCTTCACAAATAAGAGGCTGATGAACAGCAGCCCAGCACAATGCACTGCAGTGCAGAAAAGATGGTGTGGAAGCGTGGACAGACACTGAATGTGACTTCCCTCTTCCAAAGTATGAAAGATAAGCTAGCAGAAATCAGGAAGAGCATTTTCATGTCAACTAGAGAAGGTCAGGTCTATCATTGGTTTTGTCTTAACCCTAATCTCTTTTTGAGAATTCTCAGATTTTCAGATCTAAACTGCTGTTTTTTTCATATTAAGCCCTATCAAAAAGATTGTTTAAGCTATAAAGACAACTTCTCTTTTTAATCCACTCCTGCTTGATCCCACCACCAAAGTACTGAGATATAATTAAGAGCCTTTTTTGCCATTTGAGTATCAGCAAGGAAGATATTTGCTACATTCAGGTATCACTGCATAAACCAAATAAAACAAGAAAAATACAAAAGAAAAGGCTTCCATTTATTCACACACCCTTCAGCAAGCTCCAATAAATAGAAAAGTAATAGATACATGATACTAAGACACTTCTATCACTATGCAAGAAAAGAAAATGTATCCTTTGGTTTTGTTTTTTTTTTAAAACCAGTAACAACTTTACAGTTTGGGGAGGGGTTTTTTATTATTATTAAAAACAAATAAACAAAATCCTTCCTCATCATCAAGACAATAAAGATGCTTTTTTGGTGCTTCCTCCCCACTAGCAACAGCTGAGCAGGGCCTTCATCCCCAAAGGAGCAAAGGGACTCATAGCAACTCTCTCCAAAATAATTCTCCTTATCAGGGCTAATTTTGACAAAACATGCACTGTTATAAAGGAACTTCAAAACCTCTGGGGGGTACTGTGCACCCCTCCTCCCAAGGGCATCCACAGACAATTAGTACCAAAAGAAGAATTTCAAACTCTGCTTATAGATCCACAGCTGTGGATAATTCAATTTGCATAATTAAAATGCAAATGGTGCAAGTGAGCTCAAATTTACCAAGCAATCAAAGCTATCTGTGCAAATCTTTTTACTTCATTAATTTTTGCGTATCTACAGCAATTTCTGACAAAGCTTCCACATCATCTTCTGAATCACTGATAACTACCTTGATTTGAACTAGGCCAGAAGCAGATCCTAGAACCCACCAAAAAGATTTCTGAGAATGGATTCCTCAGACCTAATTGTTTTTCCTCTTCTTTTTCTGGTATTTTTGCTACTTAGTCAAGTTTATATGCATTAAATACAGTAAACTGCAGTAAACATGTTCACACCATCCTTTTTTCAGTCAGAACGTCGGGTCTCGTAAACAATACTTATGCCAACAAATGCCACACAAACTTTATTACCATAAACCACAGCAAAGGATACAACAAAAATCATGTAAATGAAGACATATGTAAAGGCTACTTAAAGCACAAATTAAATGCTATTGTAATACTGCATGAACTGTCACCTCTCTTCATATCAGCAGCATAAACTGAAGTTTTCTCATCTTAACTGAAAATTTACATATGGCAAAAGCATGATTAAAACTGAAAGTTCTTGTTCCTTTACAGCTTCAAGAACTACGGATACCTGACACCTGACAACACATACAACAGCACTGACTCATCTGACTCCAAAGGAGCTACACACATGCACACATCGTATGCATTTCTGCAAGACTTTTTTGCAAGAGCCCAGTTAAGCACAGGCAGTACCTACTTAATTCTGTGCTAAAGTAGCAAAGATTGATTTAACATTGGCATATAAACAGTAACCGTAATGTTCTATATATAATTTACCAACCATTACAGACCTCTCTGAACTCTCAAAAACTTTGAATTACACATATTCAACGTTTACATTGGCCTGGGAAAGTATTTGTTCAATTCTGCAAGAGCAGGCCAGACTTTGAGAACTACACACAGTGGTTCTACTGCTCAAGGTACAAGGAAAGGGAAAACCAGCTCTAACATCATCAGACAATGAGTAAAACAGAAGTGCTAAATCCCAAACACTTCAGGCAACAGATCTGGGGGAAGGGACTTAAAGGGAGATCATGGAGAATTTACGCATTGATTATTAGCAATATGTAGTGCACAAGATGGCCTTCCACATCACAGCCACAGCTGAGCAAAACAAAAAGCAAAGTGGCAGTAAGATAAAGTTGAGCATGGGAGTAAGTATGTACAATACAATAACATCCACCACACAGAGCCTCTGACTGTAGTTCCCTGCATTCCCTTTGGTCACTTCTATCTGACCAGTCAGACTCTCCCCTCCCTCTTTCACTGATGGGCATCTCTCCAAACAAACCACAACCAAGATGCATTATCATCACTAGCACACACAAAGGATTCTCAAGAGCAGAAAAAATTTCCTCTATAAAATTGATTCGAAAATCACAAATCAAACAAGTCTACCATGATCAGAGTCACTGTAACCTTCACTTTCATCCACAAGGATTCCACACTTGCTGCTTGAGCACGATGCGCAAGCACTATATTAGCTCTTTAAGCCTTGCCAAAAAGCTATGCAAAAATAACTGCGTATATGTGTTTATCCTTGTGTGGACAATGGGGTGAGGGGGAGGAATCATAATACAGTTTTGTCATAATTAACTTAGATGGCATCTGTAATGCGCTGGAATGCAGAAGTATCAATTTTACTTCACTCTAAATTATCATCTTGACAAAACCCACACATCACAACCCACACATCCAAGTTAGCTTGGAGCCCCAGTTTCTAAAAGAAAAGTCCATTTTTACAGCTGAACATTCAAACCTCTTTTGGAATCACAGTACCTAAGAAGCCTGCCCACAGACAGTTCTGTTTCTGTACCAGTTGCCAGCTCTGCTTATAAAAGCAAATATCTAGACTCACAGTGGGAATGCTCAGCAAGAGAAATCTACTGCAACACAGCAGATCTCTCCATACAGAAATGGCTGCTTATTCAATCTGTTTTGCAATTACTGCTTGAAAAGTAGCCGTTTTCCCAACAAAGATGCCCTGGGGTCAATTACAAGGTGGTGTCTGAAAAGCAGTCCCATCCAGCCATCCAAGGGTGGTTTCCAGTCATGCTGTGAAGTCACATATAAGGAGGGCACAGAAATTAGAAGGCAAATCAAACAAATCCCTTTACAGTGCCGGTGGTGAAAAAAAAATAAATCTGTTGAGATATTTGCTCTGTTTTGCCCTAAGATAAGCTACATGCCTTCGTGGGTTTGGCTTTTTGTTTTAAACAGCAGCTAGTAAAAAGGGAACCTTGCTAAAATTCTTGTAGGATCCTGTAATACAGTATCAGTAAGAGAAGAAACAAAAATGTGTCTTAAAATTAGAACTGGTGTATTTAAACAGTTTCTTATTTACATTACAGCAAATATCAAGTTATTATAGCAACTTACTTTTGTTGCTATTTCATTATCTTTTGAAGCCTTTTCTTTAGAACAAGTAAGATTTACTCTCCCTTGGAAATTCAAGTCCTCTCTCACTCATGCTACAATTCCCGATCTGCATATTTGTCCTCTTACAAACTGGTTTAACTAAATCAAAATGCAGTAAACATTTTCAGATAAAGATTTTGAAAGACTGGAATTGCTTAACACATAGATTTTGTAAAAAACCCTAAAATTTAGCTCAAATTTGGTTCAGTACTTCCAAAGAATCCTTATCGAAAGGCAAGATGAGAAGAGAGTTTTACAGTTAAAGCTGTAGAGAGATGAGATTCTTCCAACCAGAGCACATGTGACTGCAGAGAAGAGCACAGTCCAAAAATATCAATAGGAAGAAAACCCAAAGATGATTAAAAAAACCCCAAAACCCACTCCCAAACCCAAGGCAGCTCCTGCAGTCACTGCTGGAGTGACCTGGACCACAGAAGAGGATACATTAAGATGATGCAGTTTGGAGAATTAACGCAGGTACACGTACACATCAGATTCAGCACTTTTGTGCTAGTGTACATGAGTGAAGTAGTGTAGTGTCAGCATGCAAGATAACAGCTTCTATTTACAGTGGCCTGCACTACTCCAAAACAAGCCATCAACACCTCTGAAAACAGTAATGCTATATCACATTTCTTATTCAGCTTTAGCAATGACCAAAAGCAACTCTCCCGGCCACAGAAGTTTTATCATCCACCCACAACAAGCATCATACTGTGAACCTCTCAAATTATTTTGTCTCAGCTTTTAAGACATTTGACTCTCTCAGGGAGTCAAATGCAAAACTTACTGCTTAACATGAATCAGATGCTTTTGTACGTTTTCGTTTGCTCTCCTATGCTCACATGCCAGAAGATTCAAGTGATAGAAATCTGAAAAGAAAAAAGACCCTATAACATGCCATTTTTTACTACAAAGGATTTAATACAGTGATGTTTAGAAGTACTTTAGAAGTACTTTCTGCTTTTATTAGAGGGCCCTAACAGCTAAATATTTTGCCAATAGGTGGCACCAACACTAGTTAAATCAAGCGTAAAGAACCCTGTCCTTGCCGAGGGACAGGCCTTCCTCTCCAACCCCTCTAGGCACCAACATCAAATGTATACTTTGGTATCACCAGATAAAATAGTAAAAGAAGTCAAGGCAACTGTAGCTCATATGAAGAGTCATCAGTCTGAAACCTAGTCCTCAGGCTACTCATGCTTTAATAATAGACACCTAATCTTTTTATAAACAAAATATTTTGGGTCAGTTTTAGAATCTTAATTATGTCTCCTCCACTGATAGCAAAGGTGTGCAATCCTGCTCAGGCGTATTCATAGTCATGTACTTGCACAACACTTGCTTTGCTTAGATAGTAGCTAAGCTCTCGCTGCTGAAGTGGCCACTCCTGCTGCACTAAGTGCTCCTCACACTTGAAAATGCTGCCTCAGAAAGCTCCTATGTCTCAAACTGATGGAGGCTGAGACTCCATCCATGTACATATTATTCTACACTTGCTCTACTCTTATAGTCTGAGAGTGGGTATCACGCTCAACAGACTGCTGGACAGCCAAAGTTCAGCTGCTCTAGCAGAACACACATGCACTAAAGAAGTTATATTTTCAGGACTCAAACTTGCCATAGGAAAAAAGGAAATAGCTACCAGTAAGACTATCTCTTGTCAGGCTGGAATCAAGGCTAAGAGATGCCCATGACACAAAAGGCAACAGCTCATTTACTAGAAGGAAAGGGGAGACTGTCATATGCATCGAACACCCATGCTCACACACATTTTTATGGGCATGCAGCAGGTATTGGGGGAACAGATTCAAAGGAGAGAGATAGAGTAAGATTGTGCAAACACACTTCCATTTTGCATAAAGCTTACATTTAGTTATTCACCATGTAATCCAGCTGTTGCAGGGTAGCAGTATGCTGTGACATCCAGAAATGGAAACGTCAAAAGGTGACGTAAGCAATGTGGTGGTCTGTTCTATAGAGTTCAACAATCTTTGTAGCAGAAGTGAGCTGTGCTGTTTTTTTTGTTGGCTTTGTTTTGTTTTAAGGAAGGTAGCACAGCTTTTTTTCCTTAAACTTTTCTTCCTAAAATTCAGGAACATGTTAGATTCATTACCACCTTAGTGAAATATGTCTCCACCTACTTCAGGAGAAACAAGACACAAAAAAGTCTTCAGAACTAGATTTTAACCCTCTACAGCTTTGGTAGCCCTCTTAAAGTTTACTGTACATAGACTGAGCCTGAAAATTTTTGGTAGACAAAAACCTTAGCAGAATAACCGAAAGAGATTAGAAACGTTCCTTAAATTTGTCTGACTATATTAAGATTGTATTGTATGACTCTGTTGGACACTGTTCCACATGTCAAGCAAAAAAAAAAATCACATTTTTCTTCAGGCACAATGTGAATAACAATTGGATATTTAATAAATAAAAGGTTTAGCTACAGTAGCCCCACTGGCTAATATAGCCAGCAGTGGAAATCAACTCAAACAACATACAAGATTGCCATAGGGCTGAATTAATAATGAAAGTCAATACCTTAACAGAAAACTTCAGTGCACCAGCTAGTGCAATTTCTATTGGATTTTTTTAAATACAGGTAAAATACAAGAGCCCATAAAAATGCAGAAAAATCTTCACCACAGAGTAAACAGAACCAGATCCACTTTGGCAGAATATACAGCAATCATCTTTTTATATCTATTCTGCAGTACCAGGTATTTGTAGCTTCAGAAGAACATCTTCTGTTCAGGGTTTAGAACAGTGGATAGTTAACCAGATAAACTCAAGTGAGATAAAGTGAGACAGTAATTAATTGTAGGAACCTAAACTGTATAAAAATACTCCCCAAATCAATTCTTGTCACAACAAAGACCAATGGCAGCACAAATGGAAGCATGGGCTTAGCAAGATTGATTTTTCATAATGTACTCACAGTTAATTTCCCTGTTCTCATTTTATTACTTTATGAAACAGACTTTCCATTAAATTTACATCTGAGAAATATTAATATATTTTTCTGCAATGTACACTTGAGCAAAATCCAGTGCCTATTTTTCCTTTTGCCTTGCTTTGACACAAGCAATTTATCCTACAGAAATGCATGTCTAACTCTACACTGTGGAATGCAAACAAAAGACTTATCAGTGTTGACCTTTCAGAATATACTTTCAGAAACGTAAGCAAAGATCCCAAACTTTCAGACTGCCCAAAGATTCCCCCTCCCTGCCCTTGGCATGTTTATTTTCCATTTCTGCATTTTTCATTACACTTAAATCACTTTTAGATGCTTTCCTTTGTGATAGAAGGAGCTAGAAAAGGATTATTTTTTTTAACCTGACAGATGGAGTTTACATGAGAACCTAAAAGTAAGATCTTTTAGATTTGTTTACAAACAAATGAATTGATATCATCCACTGCCTTCTTATTATGTTTTGATATATCTTAAGTATATCTGTCCAAGCAAAAATTTGGTTGATAATTTTAACATCAATATAATCTCCTGAAATACCACAGTTTTGGTACATTTTGAGAACCATGAAAAGCAGCATATATAAGTACAAATGTAAGATGCATGTGCATTTTAAAAGACAGACGTTGCCAAAACACTCCGGGATTTAAGAGTACTCTGTACTGCAACAAAAACATAATACAATGAAGAGTCAAAATGAAGTCTGACTGACAATTATGCTGTATCATTCCTTCTTCTGTGTTTTGAAAGGAAACCAGACTGAGACTTTGAAGAATGTATTGTATGAAAAAGAAAGAGAAAGCAAGATTCTCAGCATATGCATCTATAATACCAAGAAATCCTAGTTGCAGCAAGTTCTGAAAGTAAATGCATCACAGATATGACCTTTCTGACGATCCATCAGCTTAGATGAAGATGGGGTGGGGGCATAATCATACCATGGGAGTTTCTGGAAGAATCAGACAAATGAAAAAGAACTGAAATAAAAGCACAGCATTCCTAAAATCTGTCTAAAATTCCCACACACACTGATTGCATATGTATGTTGGAGGTTCAAACAGCTTTTCAAAATGAAAACAACAGATGTGACTTAACAAAATGAAATCTTACCTTTCTGCCTCTTCACTTGGGGAATATTGCTGATTGTGGTTGCCTGAACTATTTCCACTACAATCTGATACCTAGTTTGAAAAACAGTAGGGGATAAGGGTGAACAGGGAGAAAAGGAGGGTGGGAAAAAAAAATAAAAATCAAGGTATTAATTTTTTACAATGCGTTCTTCATACAGCAAGCTTAAGAATTAACAAAAACCAAACCACTTCCACCTCCTGCTCACCTGGAAACAGAGTTATTTCTCAGTATATCTGCAACCTAAGGAGTAGTGTGCATATGGAGTAGAGTAGGAAAAAATCTTTAAACAAAAGGAAACAAAAAATCTTGAAACAAAAGGAAAACCTCCAACTAGCAATAATACTGCTCCCTTCTCTCAACTGCACTGCACAATCAGTTTATAATATTCAGTGAACACAATGTAAAGTCATGCTCTTAACATTAAATCTAAGTTTTCTGTAGGAAACGAAGATGGGAGTTCAGTTAAAAAGCAAAGCGCTGTCTTTAAGGGTCTTCTAGCTAATGCACTCAATAAATATATGGAGCATATATAACTTAGAAGAAGAAAAAAAAAATATTACACTAAAGCACTGAAGTACTATGCTCCAGGAATAATTAAAACCTGTTTATCATCTAAAACTATACTACACATAGTGAAAGACAGCTAATGCAGTCAGTAAACTAAATTTTAAGTAAAACCAGTCTTGTAACTAACAGACCCCGTATACTCAAACAAAATGACTGTCAGTTAAATCTTTCATAAATGTCAAAGTTCTAGTCCAAACAAACACTCAAATTCCTCTCTGTGCACTTACTCTGGCAGCTATTAATACTGGTAATAAAGCAAGTATTCTAGTGAATTTAACTAATTCCTGGAGGAGTTCCCTAACCTTATTTATCTAGTTAACTCCTGGATGAAGGCTGAATCCTCCTGGAAAGTCTGCTATTTTCATTACTACTTATTTTCTGTTTAAGAGTCTACGATCCTTAAAAATATATGCCCCTTCTTCCATGTATTCTTCTTTCAGCAACATTATTCAATTCCCCTATTTCTCTTGCCTCCTGTAACTCTTTAAGGATGTGGACAGTCTCTGCCTCTTTGTATAGACACACAGCTTTATACACACAGCATACGCTCACTTACAACTACACTTCCAGAGTTTGGGTTGGGTTTTATTTTTCCCTGCTGTAATCTTTATTCTACCCAACTCCTTAAATTATCAAGTTGAAACCTGAGAACCTGTTTGCAAAGCTTTCTTTTTTCTAAGTCTGTCTTCTTTTGCCACTATTGTATCTTGGTTGTTTCCATCCACCACCACAGTTCTTGCTGAGTCCTTCAGAGGAAGGACAGCTCCATAGTGAGGGTGCTATTTTGGTCTGTAGAAGTCCCACAGTTAATTCCCTGCTCAGACACAGACTTCCCAAATGACACTGGGCAGCTCACTTGGACTTGGTGCCTTGGTTACATCACCTGTAAATGTGTTATAAATAACACTAATTCACCTCACTTGGGCATTATAAGGTAACGGTGAACATTATGAATTTATTAAAAAAGGTGCAGACAACCAAGTAAATACTGCACATGGAAGGTAGTTTCCACTTTCACCTTGCAACTTTTTTCCTTCTAAATTTACTCCCATTTGTTCACATGCATGGTTTTACATGTTTTTATTATCAATACTGTAATACGGCATCTCTTTTTTTTCTGTTCCTCATTGTATTGCCTTATCTAAGGGGAGATGCTCTGAGTTACATCCTCAAAGATACTATTTAGTCTGTTCCTCTCATGCACTGGACTCTGGCTGTAACTACTCAAATGAGAATGCTGTACAACATTGCACCCCAGAAACACCACCACCCTGGCTACACTGCTAGACTATGACCCTTTCCCCTGAAAATCTGTAGCAAATATTCTAGCCGCTACATATTCTGTGGTGCTCGTGAGTAAACATCTAAGAAAGTTTTAAATGTGATGTATTAATTTTATTTTCAAGAAGTAAACTGTACTTGACAAACAGGATAATGGGCTCACATTCACATTACCTCTACCTTCCCACTCTTATCTCTTTCCTATCCTTTGTCATGTTCATCCCTTTCCCTCATTTCTTAAGTAAAAGATGACACAGAGACAGCAATAATGGTCTTTCTTACGATGAACTGTGTAGTGTCCTTTTGCTGCTATACTACTAAATATCAGAATAAATATAATGCTCATCTTGAAATCAGAATGAAAACTACCCACCAGTTTATTTCCTTATCACTATTCTTCTCAGCTACGTTTTTAACTCATCACGTCTTTTTTATCTCTAGTCTTCTTCTGACAGAGCAAGTAAATTTGTTTCACATCTGATGTGGAAGAATTCATATTTTCTTCCTTATTTGTAGCAGACTTCCAATTTATCCATGCTAACTTAAATCTGAGGGGAAATGAAGGTGAAATTTCACTGTTAAACTTTTTCTTCTTGAGAGAAATAGGGACAACACATTTTATGGAAACTTGATAAAGCAGGAATAGAACTCTGCCTCCCTTCATGTCAAGCAACAATGAAGGTCAACATTATAAAGAGTGACTCTGAAGGATGTTTGTAGATAACCGTACAATGGTCACTTCTCTGGAAGCTTTGTTTGTCTGGGGTTTCCTCCCCCCTCCAAATCCAGATTTTCAGAAAACAAAAGTATGAAAGGAAATAGCTCCTTTGAAACCAGCAAATGACTCTTTATGAAAACAAGTATCAGCTCCTCAAGTGTCCCTTATAAAAATGAAAGGGATGTTTCCACAAAGCAATAGAGAGAAGTTCTGCTAAGAGATAGTGACCAGATGTTAGATATGTTAGATAAAGTGACCAACTGTCAGATATTAACGAGCCATGAATTTAGAAGGATCTCCAAAATTAAGACGTAGTTCCTGCATCATTTAAAGAAGTTCTAAAAATAAAACCCATAAAAGCAATGCAGAAAATCAATACGGTATTTCTTCTTACAGTTAACGCTTCTAAGCAAGGAGAGAAAAAAGATTTGGAAAATCCTAGTGCCATACTAGCCTTTCAGAGAGAGCTATTTGCAAGGCAGAAAGCTGGTTCACTTGCTTACAAGGAGATCCAACACACACATAGCCTCCCACTCTTCTGGTTTCCTGGCCAAGAGCAACAACACCCTTCACCCACAGGTTTCTACTCATCCAGCTGAGGATTTTTCCCTACTTGCCCCGTAACAAATACCTTTTTCTAACCACAAGAAAGCCTAGCAAAACTCTGTTAATGAAATCACCTCATGTGCATACATCAAGGACCACCCAGGAGTCAAGCTTTCTTGACTACAGTCCATCAAAAGCCTGAGGAATTGTTTGTCAGTGCTCCATGGACTCTTCCACTGCACAACATATTTTATGTTTATTTTAGTAGATAGAAATTAATCTGCAAAGATAAAGCATGGCAGGGAAGTTTAAAACAAAACCACACAAAACAACAAACCCCAAACAAGAAAAAAAAAAAAAACAAAACACACACACACACACAAAAAAAACCCCCACACCAACCCCCCCCCCCCAAGTTTCTCAGCAACTGTAGTGCCTTGGGATAAATTTCCCTCAAAGCTAAGCCTACACAGAAAATTGTTACTACTTATAGCTGTTCTTTACCAAGACGTTACATGGCAACATTAGGAGTAATAGGAGGCTTATAGTTCATGAATGCCATGTACTAGCTTACAACAGGCACTGAAAAATGGTTTCCAAATAAAATCAAGAAAATAAATTTTTGATAAACAATATCAAAATCCAGAATAGCATATAACTGGGAAATGTGTTTAAGTACAACATGCCAGTAACTTATTTGATGTAGGAAGACCACGAGAAGCATTCTCCCCACTCTTGTCGCTCTGACAGACTCTAATTTTGTCCTCGGTGTTAACTGCACAATGGCTTGTTTCTTTCTAATTTCTTCATTATAGACTTTTCTGTATTTCACTGTTGTGATCTACAGTCTGAAATGTCACTTAGTTTGTTCATCTACAATACCACTTTTTTTCCTCCCATCCATATTGGGACCACTGATGGTTTCTTTGAAATAAATCTGTAAATTTTCACTGGTAAATGATGAAAGCTTTGCAAAATATACTACATAACTCTGAAATGACTACAGGTTGGCCCACCTCTCTCGAGTTGCTCCCACAGTGCTGGAGAACAAACAGAAAAGGAATTCCTCCTCTCAGAGGAACACTCTAACCAGCTTCCCAGAGACTGGCTTTATACAAACTGAGGAAGGATGCACACTGCCTCCAAAATCAAATACTGTTTCTCTTTGAAAAGAAGATGTTTTCTCAGACATTTTCCATGTAAATGATGACCAGCTCAGACTGACAAACATTACAGAGGGTGTAGAGAAACACATCTCAAGACCACGGTAGCTGGACTCCACAGGCTAGAAAGGAAAAACCTAAGTGCAGCCAAACCCACATTATTTCATAAAGTAAATTTGCTATCTGATAGAGAACACAATTTAAGGTGACCTATCATCTAAAAAGAGAGCACACTGAGCATTAATGTGCCTGAACAACAACAGAGGATTTGGGTTTCTTCTGAAACAAGCAGATCCATTAGTGTGATTATGCTAATAAATATGATGTCAATTAGGTTTTAGACAGAGTCTAATAGAGAGTAATTTCTGCTCTCAGGAAAGGCACACTGGGCCAGAGTAAAGAGCAAATTTTACAGCAGATGAACAATAAGTAGCCAAGCAACAAAATCACTTCACCATCACCTAAATGTATTTTCCTATCTCTGAGATGCAAGTGGTTTTAAATCAAAGAAAAGAACAAGAGAACGAAAGATGCTATTTAAGCATCCCACATACTCCATCTTGTTAAACCATCACTTGGCCTGACTAAGCCAAGTCTAACAGGTCCGGGTCACAACAGATGACACAGTGGACCAAATGGGACTGATGTGCTTTTATCTTTCAGATGTTGCTGCAGCCCTTTAGGAAGAGAGAAAGGTGACCTGCAGCAGCAATTGAAGAGAGTCAGAGAAGAGAAAAAAAATACCAGTTCTGGTTGGTGGTAACAGATTAGGACAAACACTCTGGAAATGGCTTCAACAGTACTCCAAAAGCTTTGGTGTGCTCAACAAAACCCATTCAAGGACATCTAGGGAGACCCTACGGCAGTATCTCTGCTCGCCGCTACCCAGTCACTTGTTCCTTTATCCTTTCACTTACATCAGAAAACAGAGGAGAAACAGCTCAGCTATAAAGGTAGAGCAAGAATGAACATCTTGAACCTGGGCAAGCAGGCTTGAGATGCAAGCAGTTATCTCATGTTATGATGAAAGACAGAAGGAAAAGAGATGAGATTTAGGGTGATGGAGAGGCAGAAATTAGTATGAAAGTGAGCAGGTGCTATTTGCAGTAGAAAACAGGAGCACAAACACCTCTTTCCATGTCACAGGATCACAGCAAGCTGCTCTGAATGCCCAGTGTCCATAGTGTCACCAGATCACCATGGCCAGCCATACTTCATACTTCATAAAGATAATGAGGAGATAACCACGCACTAGTGGAAATTCAACATATTATCTCCACATAGGCAAGCTGTAAAGAAGGGTCTGGTCAACAGTACAGTCATCTCCACTACACTATTAAGCAGAATTTTTTAACATTTTCTGGCACCAAACTAAAAACCTGACTATGTTAGAGATTTAATGAATGTGGTGGCTTACCATCCTTAATGTCTCTGCTTCATCAAAAGAAAAAGAAATCTAGAATTGAATTTAAAAAGAAAAATCACAATTCATTCAAATCTCAGTAATGGGTTGGCAAAAGAAGCATGTTTAGTTTTGAATGAGCTATAGTGAAACATTCAATACCTCAGTTGTTTCAGGAACTCAACATCGGAGCTGCTGTTAATGAGCTTGATGAACTCCTCATAAGAAGGAGCATATGTGTAGTCTTTCTTCTGATGCTCATTCATCTGTTCTCTGTACTCCAGCTGGCTGAGTAGCGTTCGGTTAATATAATCTGGATCACTCAGCAGTTCCACCACTGGTTTCAATACTGGAGAGGAAAAATATTTTAAAACAAAATCCTTATGCTGAAGAACAACTGCTGTCCTTCAAAAGAAAACTGCAGAAAAAAGGCAAAAATAAATATGCAAGTTGATAAGAATCCAAAACCAGTCTTCTGGACTACAGAGTACATTTGAGATTGGATGTACCTTCTTGACAAAATTGTTTATTTATTCTATTAAACAAATTGATGTACATTGACAAAGCTGAGCTCTATTTGGAAAATTCCAAGTGCCTTTGTTTTTTTCTGCTGTGTGCCTTGAAGGCTATGACATTACTGACACTATAAATGAAAATCAAAAGTAAACTGAATTGCATAATACACTTGAGACTTCATCATTCTGAATTTGACTTCAGTGACATAAAAAATGACTAATGTATTTATAATCAGATTAAAGTGTAGCTGATAAAATAAAAAGCAAGTTAGACACCCCTGAATTAAAAAAACACACTGAGTAAGTCAAAGTCTGAAAAAATTTCACTAAATTTGGTATCATAATTCAGTTGTTATCAAATCATAAAGCCTACTGATTTCCATGTATCTGAATAGAATCTAAAAGGCCAGAATTATTCATATGATCACTAAAAATAATGCCATGGAAGACTGAAGAAGTGTTCTTCTATGAAAAAAATAGAAGAATGGAATGGACAAGTTATGTTTTATTCTGAAAAGTGATAAACAGCCCAGCATCCAGTAAGGAGAGTCAAGTAAGTATATGCTTGACTATGAGAATATAAGTGTCTCATTGGTTATCACAAAAATTAAAAGCAGAGAATCAAGATTTAATGAAGTCTGTAATTACTAATATTGTACAGGTACAAATGATTAATCATCTCTGATCTTTGATCTACCTTTTGTTGCAAGTATTTCTGCAAGGACTATGCGCAAGCTGACAGACTGGACATCCTTTGAGGGTAGGAGACAATACACCAGAATTTGAGAACATTTTTGCAGGAATCTTACTTCTTCATCAGAGCTCCTCAAGCATGGGTGCAGCAAAAAAGAAGGGGGGGGGGGGGAAAGAGAGAGAACTTACATACCACTTGTATCATTAGTTGTCGCTAATTGATAAAATATCCAAAATCCATTATCAGATAAGTAACTTCAGTAAAGAAACTCTAAACCAGGTATATTGTTCAAATCCTGCTAATTTTCCTTAATGATATTAAGAAACATTTACACATTCCTTTGTCCTGTCAATGTTTTCACCTGCCAAAATAGAAATGCAGTATTTTAAAACTTCATCAAATAGAACCTAGCAAGTGTGAGGAAAAAAATTTCTCCAAATAAAAAACCCAGTTGTTCCATCATTGAACTTACAGTGAAATCTTGTCCAGTTTTTCAGAAGAATTAACAAGACAAACTCAAGAAGCAAATACATTCCCGTAGAGCAAGCGAATTACAGGCCTGAACCTCAAAGCAGAGGATCTGGGATCATATCCAGTTTGAGAAACAGGTCTATCTGTTAGACACTGAAGTTACTGTCTCTTCTTTGCTACTGGCAAATGAATCTCCCAGTAAACTGGCCTGTTTGACCTGACATTTCCTAGAAGAGCAGTTTCCAACTTGCCACCTGCTGGCTACATCAAATTGGTCTGTGCAAGACACCTATGCAGTAACAGACTTAGCATTATCAGGCACCTACACTGTAAGTGGAAAACCAGTTTAGAAAAAGATTTAAAAATACACCCACAGATTTGGAAAGAGGGTGGAATCGTGATGGCAAACAAAGAAAGGTGAATTGACTCCCAAAGTGCAAAAGAACTTGGCCAGACAAGTTCTCTCAGTAGTTCAGCAAGTGAGACTCAACCATACTGTCACCAGTATCAGGTGCATTCTGGAAAGCATGAAACTGGAAAGCATGGAACTACAGGGGCTCAGTGTGTATGTGTATGTACAATCCCACTTTTGGGACAATATCCCCGTGGGCAGCATGCTTATCCTAGAGGGGGTGAGAGGCTCTGGACTTTAAACTCTGCTCAGTCTGACAGGCCTGAACCTGCATCTTCCAAGTCCCATCCAAGTCACCTCTCAGCCAGATCACAGATTTGGTGAGTCACCTCTTGGCCAAATCAAGTAACAACACTCGCTTGGATCTGAGCATCTCAGACACGAATAGATCACAGAACTATTCAGAGAAGAAAGAACTTGCCTCAAGCTGACTTCTCTGATCAGCAAGCTGAAGTTGGAATATGCTCATGTTATATATTAATAAATCACCACAGATTAAAAAAATTGGGAACAAAGTGACAGTTTTTCTCCATCATTCTAAACACTTCAGAATCAAGGTTCATATTGCCTGTCTTCAGTGCAGTCAGATCCTTGCCTATGGCTAATTCTGGTTCAGCTTCAAGAAGGAGGCAGGAGAACACTCTCAGCCGGAATTGCTCTCAGCCTGCTGGTGAAGGCATTCACTGTCATCCACTCACTCACTGTAAGGGTTATGCAGGCTGGATACTAATGGATGGAGGAAATTCAAAATTTCTTAAACATGCACAGCAACATGCTGCCGGATGAGCAAGCCTATGATAGCAAAGTCTGTGTTGTCTGCAGACTCCCCACAAACAGTTCTTCTGATCACAGCTCTGAAAGAAGCAGGGAACAAACTTCCCCCACCTTGATTTTGTGCCCAATACCAACAAGTTCATCTCCTCACAGGTGCCACTGGTTTTCTGGACTTCTCAGAACTTGCTTCACTGGAGGTGCCAAGGGAACGCCTCAGTGCAGGTCAGAGCAGCACCTTTTCTTTACATAAAAATGGCTGCAGAAGCAGACACAAGGTGCCCTAGCAGTTCTTTCATGGCCATACGTCTGATGCGCTCCAATCACAGATTTAAACAGCAAGGTGACCATGCTAGGGGCTACAGCGAGACAGATGCAGCATCACCTGAGAGGCACTATGGTAATTTCCAAAGGCAGAGAGTACTGGTCTTCAGCAGACAGCTCTAAGGTGTTACAAAAGCTCATACCAGTGCTTCCACTCCCACCATCTGCTATAGCGTCTGCTTCCTTTCCAAAGCTAGAGGCTGCTGTCCTGGTTAGAGTCAACTAACTGTTACTCAGAATTGTTCCAAGCCCATTGCCTCAGTATGTGATAAAGTGATCAAGAACTGTACACAGTCAAACCAAAAGTTTTCAGTTAAGACATTGCTATGTGGCCACTAGTGACAGGCAGCATAGTGTAACGACTGACTTTTGGTAGTCAGTCCAGGAGAGAACAAATACGTTGGAATCGTAATAACACTCTAATAATAGCTCTAATTCTGTTCTAATAATACAAGTCATTTGTCTGAAGGGAATCAAAATTAGTTTAATTAATTTTCAGAACAATAGGAATGTAAAGATGACGTGGTTTTAATTTGATAGAAGTCTCTTATTCAATCTCAAATTAAATGTTTTGTTTTCAAATGTGGATCATGGAGGGGGTTTTGATTGTTAGAAGCAAGAAACATTACAAAACAAGTCTCTTGGAACAGCTTGGACATAAACACTCTGTTCTTCTTAGGAGCAGTAGTGTATGAAGATGATGTGTAGTCTTCATTATCAACCCAGCGCAGGTGGTGCAGCTGACTGAGCTCAGAAAGCTGTTCATCTTGTTCTGGTAGGATCTTTTCTCTCTGGCAGCTGAATACCTAGATATTTTCCTCAATGGATTTCCATTCCTCTTGCATATTCCAACATATCTTACAGACTTCACCACATGGCATCAAACATTCCCCATCACATGCTCTCCCTAAAGGCACTCATTGTATAACCAAAACCAGACACATCCCAGACAGATTACTGGCAGACAGAAAGTCTGGGTCATTTATGTAAACCTACTTCTTACTGGGGAAGTAAAGGCTGACTTTTCCGGACAGGTTGGTTCAGCTGAAGTCAGCCACTTAGAAACACAGCCAAAAGCATATGCAAAATGCTGGCAAACAGGATGACTTACATCGAACATCAGTTGACTAGCAGCAAACTAACCTCTCCTAACAACTGATTCCTGTGTATTAACAATGACACAGTTAGAACTAAAAACAAGTGGTGAATGCTTTTTTGCCCATGAACACAAAAATGCCATCTTTTTGGACACTCTGACCTTACTCGTGGGACATTCTGCATAGTGATTAGATCAAGCTATACTTTCATAACACATGAAAAGCACAAAACTGAGCCATAATGCACATAAAATTTCACTAAACTGAGATTAAGTCTTTTTTGCCTTCAATATTTCTCTACAAGTTTCTTGAGGAACGCCAGTCTGTTTGGGACTACAAAAAGCCTGGAGCATTAACTATCATCTGTGCAAGAGAAGTAATTTCTCATGATCTTAGTCTCTCTACTGCACAAATTTATTCCCAATCAACAGCCAATACATAGAGCTTGGCTGAGTTGAACCTGTGCCAGAACTTTTCTGATACACAGTCAACAGAACACAAATGGAAAATGGAACAGAATAAACAAGTAGAAAGGCAAATATTTGATTCTTACACTTCTGATTTGTCTAATGTGCTTCCTGCCTACAGGAATGCAAGGGGGGAGCGCAGTTGCATACTCTCCAGTTGACAGGTCATTTAAGAAGAATTTTTCTTGGAGTTATCTCCATTACCTAAGGCAGCATGATTCTCTAGAGGAGGTGTTCTTCCAATTGTTTTGAGCTAAACTGTACCTAAAATGTGATCTAAAAAGCGAAAGTGAAGGCACAGAACCCCACCACATTTTTACAAAAAGAATAGAGGAACAAAGTCTTCAGGAAATTCAACTCTAAACAAGCCTTGCATATCAGCTCCAAACAGTTGTGTCAACAAATCCTGCAGTTTTCATTGCTGTTTGGGCAAGAGAAATAAAGGGGAGACTGAAAGCAGGAGAGGAAGCTTGCAGGGAGGCTTAACAGCTACAAACCAAATCAATATGCCAGCAGTAAAATAGACAGGACAAGACATCCACACTTATACTCTCCTTTACATTTATACATGAAGTATTACACTTCCATTTGCTTCAATATAACCATTGATCAGTTTGTAGGGAAAATATATTGTGTGTCAACAAAAGGTCTGCCCAGAAAACAGTGTCCCTTATAAACTGGGCTTCAACTTCGCTGACACTCATAAAAAAATGAGTGGTGAGCAATCACAGAATTAACACCACCACTGCTCAACTACCGAACCAAGACTGTTTACTATACTGGAGCAGGAGCTAAGATGTCCTGATCAGGAATATTCTTAAGGCTTAATATAACACATGGATCCTCAGCTTTGTAGGAATGTGCTCAAGAGTAAAGAAAGGGACTGTTCATTTTGCAGAGACCAACAGGAAAAGCTGAAATTTAACTGCAATCTGCATGCAGGTACACAAAGCAAAGTGCTGCTACATCTCTCCAGTGTCAATAAAGATATTAAGCGCTATTAAATATCCCAAATAGTAATACAGTCATTACTTTTCTTCCTATCCAATTCTGAACATGTGTTATTAGGACTGTGTGGTTGGATTTAAATAAAACAAAAAGTCACTTAATAATCACAGAAAACTTAACTAAAACCCTGTGCAGATATTTTTAGAGAGCTTTGAAAGCCCAGCCAATTATCCATAAATTCCAAGCACAACTGTGTGCAGTGAACTAATATAAATGTGGCACTCCAGCAAACAGACACGACACAAGCTTTATAAACCAGGCTTGTTTAATCTGATTTAGGCAATAGAAGAACAATGGCAACTTAATTCATTTGTGTCTTCTTTAACAATCAAGACTGAAGTAATAGTGACATATATTGGTGTATCAAGATGCAGGTGACTTCAGTGATTTAAAACAGTAGACAGAACTCATGCTCTACACAGCATGCTTACAGGTCATATCCCTCTACAAAGCCAGACATAACTTTTCTGTAGGCCTGCTCTGAATTTTTAACACTATCCAATCCTATCTCATAGCATCAGAAGCAGCAGACTCTGAATACAGATCCATAGGTATGGCCTAACAACGTGAATTCCTTTGTACCAGGTCTGTTCCAAGCAGTACTTTTCTTTGGAACCAAAATGATACCTACTG